CATTACACAGATAGGATTGAAGTGCTTGCTTTTCTTTGTTGCTGCTGTACATGCTTGAGATGCTGTGGTGCTGACTGAGATGGATGATGGCTATTTTTCATGTCCGCATATCGGCGTGGATTGTTACGGTTATTTCTCATGATTTTACCGCAATTTGTGGAATACATCGTCAGCTGATTAGTCTAGAAGACCAACCGATCACTCATCCATTCATTGATTTATTCATATTCCCTGCTTTATGTTTCCCAGCCCTCAAAGCTATTATCACACCCCGTCTGCCTCCCCCCTCCCCCCACTGCTGCACATCTCTCCCCTGGTCATTCACTGCTACCCTCCTTCTCCCAGCTGTCCTGTTCTTTCATCTGTGAAGGCGGTCACAAAATCCCGCAGTATGCCCCCCACCCACACGCGCGCGCACGCACGCACACACACACACACACACACACACACACACACACACTCTGTATCAAAGGCTGGATTAACAGAGTTTTGTGAGTCTTGTCTTGGTGATTGCTGGGCAGCTGACTCTGAACCTGTTTGTGCAGATGCCTGGATGAGTCGCTGGGTGGAATCCAAGCACAAGTCCGATTATGGGAAGTTTGTCCTGACTGCTGGGAAATTCTACGGTGATGAAGAGAAAGACAAAGGTAAGCAGGAAGGCGCTGATATGTGTTGCATAATTACACTGTACTACCCTGTCAGACACCTGCTGTCAGAGGCGCGTGTTTGCTTCCTCGTGGAGCTCTGCCTGTATCAACACGGCTGTCTTCCTCCTCTCTGTTCTTCAACTTGAGAACAGAGCATCAAATTAACCCGTACTGTTTCATTAAGACAGAACAGGAGTACTCGCTGGTTTAGCTTGATCTTCCCTGCAGTAACACCGTTGTTTCTGCAGGTCTGCAGACGAGCCAGGATGCCCGTTTTTATGCACTGTCAGCCCGTTTTGATGACTTCAGCAACAAGGGCCAGCCTTTAGTCATACAGTTCTCCGTGAAACACGAGCAGAGCATCGACTGTGGCGGAGGCTACATTAAACTGTTTCCCTCCGAGCTCAACCAGGAGGACATGCATGGAGACTCTGTCTACAACATCATGTTTGGTAAGTGGACCAAAGGATGGTGTGTTAAATGGTATTGCTTTTGTTGGATAAACAGAGCAGTGTTTGCTACACACAGACATTCACTGTCACTTTGTATTTGTGGGCTCGTTCAGGTCCTGATATTTGCGGCCCTGGCACAAAGAAAGTTCACGTGATCTTCAACTACAAAGGCAAGAACCACCTGATCAACAAGGACATCCGGTGCAAGGTGACGCATGGGAAAGCTAGTTCTAATAAAAAGCACCACAATATAAGGACGCATGAGCTTAAACAATTAAAAATAAACTACATGGTAATATGCTGTTAGTTGCATGTATTGACCTTTTTTTCTGCCCTGCAGGATGATGAGTACACCCACTTGTACACACTGGTCGTCAACCCTGACAACACTTATGAGGTTAAGATAGACAATAAGAAGGTGGAATCTGGCAATCTGGAGGATGACTGGGACTTCCTGCCTCCCAAAAAAATCAAGGACCCCGAGGCCAAAAAGCCAGAGGACTGGGATGACAGGGAGAAGATTCCTGACCCTGACGATAAGAAACCTGAGGTCAGTGTGACCTGGCATTCTTTCAGGGCATCACTTTAATGATAGTACTTGTCTCACGTGTGCAACACTGTTTCAATTTTTTAAAAGTTTTGATAGGTTGATCGTGTTTCAAATGTTTTGTTGTTTTTGTTTTCATTGCAGGACTGGGACAAACCAGAGAACATCCCAGATCCTGATGCCAAGAAGCCCGATGACTGGGATGATGAGATGGATGGAGAGTGGGAGCCACCGATGGTCACGAACCCTGAATACAAGGTGCATATCCAGTGATTCTAACTCTTCATGCAGTCAGTATTTATTCTGTGCTATTTTTCTGAGCTTTGCACATCAGCGAGCTTCCTACAATAGGATTGGAATATTATCCAAAAATATTTACTCTGTTTACACTGTCAGCCGCTTTGTGTTTTAACCCCAGTTTCTCTGTGTGTGTTTGCTGTCCGCAGGGTGAGTGGAAGCCCAGAGAGATTGACAACCCTGCCTACAAGGGCAAGTGGATCCACCCTGAGATTGACAACCCCGAGTACACGGCCGATTCTGAGATCTATAAATACGACAGCGTCGGGGTGATTGGGCTCGACTTGTGGCAGGTAAGCTGGATGTGTATTTACATCTTAATGCATAATGAAATTTATTGAAATATTTTAAAACTATTTACACTGATCCAGCAATTTGGTTACTTGCTCTGTATTGTGTGAGCTGCTGGGAAAACTATGCATGTTTTCCCAGGAAGAAACTCTTTGAGTTTGTGATTGTGCTTGTTTTCTTTAAAGATTTGATAACAAAATATGCGTTGCCCTTGTGTCTGGCTGCAGGTCAAGTCTGGGACTATCTTTGACAACTTTCTAATCACAAACGATCCAAACCTGGCAGAGGAAGTTGGCAACGACACATGGGGCAAAACTAAGGTATGCTCGTTTTAGCCCTGTACCCTGTAATTCTAATTTCACGTCAGTGTCAACACTAATAAAAAGGAATGAGCTTTTCATATAGGTTGATATATTTATTTGCATTGTTCGCATTTTCTCCAGGATGCTGAGAAGAAGATGAAGGAAAGCCAAGAGGAAGACGAGAGAAAGAAGCGCGAGGAGGAGAACAAGAAGAGGAGAGAAGAGGCAAAGGAGGAGGATGAGGAGGAAGAAGAGAAGGAGGAGGAGGAGGAGGACGAAGAGGAGGAGGAAGGGGAAGAGCACGAGGAAGAGGAGGAGGAGGAAGAAGAGGAGGAGGAAGGCACAGACTCTAACCTCAAGGATGAGTTATAAACTCAAGAACTGCTCAGACTGTGTCAGTGGGCCGTTGGAATAAGGCTGGAGACTGAGACCCTGACGACTGACACCCCGGGGTGGGGGCTGGGTGGGAAGGGCTTTTTCCATTTCTTTGTTTACAAAGCAAGGTGATCGGTCAGAAAAGGGCAATTAAATGTTCTGTTTCTTGTTTCCATGTGCTACTACTACTATTATAATGATGATTATTAAACGAGGACTAGTGATAAGCATAATTAATGTCAAATGAATGTCAAAACCAGACATTTTAACACAAACGTGTGAATTGTCATTTACATTTTACAAAATCTGGGTTGTTATGAAGTGTAATATTGTGATGAGATGAGAAGTTTTATTTGGTATGGAGGTTTTGGTACCAGCAAAACGTTTGGTTTACCTCACGTGTTTTGTTTGCCTTTCATTTTTTATTTTTGTACATTTTTCTTTCTCTCATTCCTGTCGGGCTGGAAGGATTAGATAGGATTTGATGTTGTCATCCAGGTTATTTTGCCTTCTTCTGTTTCCACTATCTGATTCAAACGAGGATTGTTGGCACGGCAACCAGAGTGCAGTAGGACTAACACTACATTTGACAACCTGATCAAAAGTGAAAAAAAGAAAACAAATCAGTCTGCAGTGGGATGGTAACATGAGGTGCTTGCATAGTTTTGTACTGTATAGGTAACACTTTTTCCACTTCAGTGCACATACTATAGTCTCGTGTGTCTAAATAAGCTCTACTCAAACTTAGGATGTACATTAAGACCACCCCAGTAGCAGAACATTTGGGCGTTTGGTACGCACACACTTTAGGTTTCCTCGCCGTTTGTGTATACGTCTCGTTTCCTGATTTTTGATTCCAAGTTTTCTGCACTGCTGTACCCCAACACACTGTCCCAACAGTCTGACAGAGGCTCCTTTTGTAAAAGACATTTTGTACTAATGGTAGTAAATGAAGTGGGGCGATTTTTGTGTTGCTGTGTAAAATAAAAACAAAGGCAGGTGATCTGTCCAATAAAACAGCCAGAAGAAAACAATGAAAAGATCCTTGTGAAATTTTGTGTCTTTTTTTGTGCGTGTGTGTCAACATGTTTTATTTATCTGTTCTCCCTTTTCCCCCGGGTGGGTTTTCTCCAGCTTCCTCCCAGAGTCCAAAGACTCTGAATTAATTTGTTATTGTGTAGGTGATGGCCTGGTTAGCGTAGACCCCTTAATCTTGACCCATGACAACTGGGACAGGCCACAGCAGAAGAACACGGATGGATGAATGTTAATTTGGTTCCCTCATTTGATTTGGATATCTGTTCAAATTTGGCAATCATTTTATTTTTACTGCTCACCGGGCTCATCAAAGGTTGCGCTACAGTTTAAACTCAAGGTTTAAGGTAAACTACAGTTTGCAGTACCTGGGTATACTTCAGCTGCATTTACATTTGAATCTTCTCCTTTCGTCTGTATTTTATTTTCTACTCACAAAGGTTATCAAAGTTAAATAAAACTAGACTAAAAACTAAGACTAGGTGAACAACACTTGTCTTATGAGGCTTTTTGAAATTTTTGCAGGAATTTCAGTCGAATAATGAAATATTCTTTGTATTTAAATGTCGTAGTTCTCTGTCCTCATTGTCATTTTCCTATACTTTGACCGACTTTATCAGCTTGGGCAGTTCTGCTTCCTGTTATTAAACTCAATAGATTGACAGGCAAAATAACAGATGTTAACAGTTCATTTTTTTCATTTTTATTTTTCATTTTTTTTCTATTTTTATTCTACTTTGAAAACGTAAAGTCAGACTTGCAAAATTTGCTGTGTTTCACTAGTGTTCGAACTTAAATAAAAATGTGTTTGGTCGTAGTGGATATTCTATTTATCTATCTATTTATTTTTAAATGCCTTATATATTAGACATTTAAAATATATTTTAGAACGACCCATAGAAAAATGAATTGCCGATAGCAAAATGACGCAACTAAAAGTAAAGAAATTCATAGAGTGGGTGTTTCAAGTCTTTATTTGTTATTTATCTGTTATTTATCTCTGCATCCATTGGCTTTTGTTATTTGTGCACCTCCTCGCAGCGACGGAGGGATGGTGAAGCTCCGAGGGGAGGTCGGTCCCTGAGGTCTGGCTTCAGGGTTTTCAGCGGCCTCTACCGCTGCCTGTCGTCAGCGCAGCTTGGAAGCGGTGGGAAACAGAAACACTATGGCTTCCAGTCTGTCTCTTACTCAGGTAACACTGTCTTACAACTCAAATATAACGACAGCAAACGCTTTCTGCCCTCTGCCTGTTACGCTCGGAGATGTTTCGGCAGCGTCGGTTAAGTCTGGCTGAAAGAATCGCGGGCTTTCTTTGATTCTGGTTCCTCTTTTGGAAGTTTAGCCCTGCTGTGACTGGGAAAAGTTTCTTCCTAATCTCTTTGGGGACTGCGTAAGGGCGTAGCTAGCTAGCTAGCCTGCTAGCTAACAGCTAGTTTGTGACCAGTGTTGGGCTGTTTTAGAGTCGCTTTATCAAAGTTGAGATAAACCGTGTAAGCTAGCGCTACTCGTCTTCGTTTCCTTTCGGGTGTTTTCTAATCGTATTTAGTGCTGCCCCGGTTTGCTGCAGGCTATTTGGGTGTTGGGCTGCCCATGTGTGGCTCTGCTGTGGCTCTACTGTCACATTTCTGCTACTTCAGCCTCTGCTAACATTGTTTTTCTCTGATAAAGCACCCAAGCTATATACAGTAAAGCTTGTAGCCTATGTGTTGGATTTCCTTGCCTCGTATGTAGCTTTGTTACATGGTTAGACTGAATAGGCTGCCTTGTTATTGCTATTATTAGAAGTAAACATGCTTCGGTGATTGGCTTGGTGTCTTTCCCCCCTGTGACCTTTCAAAAGTGGACAGCGTTAACAGTTACCCTGTTAGCTGCTGCTGTTAACAATTAGTTAATAGAGAAAACTCCTCATATCGTTAGCTGTTATGTTGTAACTAGCAAGAGGAAGTGAATTGTACAAGCAACTAGCCACCTCTACTGTGGTAAACGGTTGCACAGTTGCTGCTAGCTAAATTAAGTTCTAAATAATGTAGCGTCAGAATGTGTTTGTGTTGTTTAGGAGGCTACGGGCAGGTTAAATTAGCAGCTTTCAGTTGTGGACTTGTTACCTGAGCTGCCGTTACCTCCAGCAACAGACAAGAGTTGCCTGCCAGGAGCAGCTTTGAGATCCTTGTCTCTCAAATGGCTTAAAACCTGTGTTTATCTGGGAGCTGTGGGAGTTCATTGGCCTGTCAGGCACCAGTGCTTGTTGCAAGTGTTCCTGTCAGATGCCCGATAATCCCCAAACTCGCCTCATGTTTGGTGTTGATAGTGACATCAGTGTGCTTTATTACCATGGGTGGTTATAATCTCTAGAACAGTCTAGCCTGTCCCGCCAGCTCCTGCGCCCTGATGTTTCTGGCTATCTGCTGCAGTTTTGTATGGGCTAGCTGGGGGATGATTGAGGGGTGTTTTTTCAGTGCTCAATTAAAGTCACCAGTACAAAGACCACAGTGTTACAGACGCCAACAGTCCCAGGCACACTATTGTGTGTCATAGGGGAAAAGAAAAAAGTTGCATTGACTAGAGAAAGATATGTGTGTGTCAACAGTTATTTCACTGTAAACTGGTGGGTGAAAAAGCTGACTGATAACTTTGCTTTTTGTGTGCGTGAGTTGTTTTCTGTGTCAGGTCTAAGTCTGTTTTACAGTAGAGAGTAATCTCACATGTGTCTGAAAGCCTTAGCCTCCATTGACCAGCCACTCCCTGGTTGATTCACACTTGAAACAATTACTGTCCATCCCTTTCCTCGCTTTCTTGCACCTGCCAATTTGAAACCAAACAACCAGTTGTCAGTTTCAGTTACACAAATAAGGAAGCACTGCTTTATTTCCTCTTTAGTCCAACGCTAGACATTTTTCTTAACAGAGGAAAGAGGGGTGTTTAGGGAGGACATGACAGAAGGCCAGACTAACTGTTGCCTTTGGAGTGACGCCTTGTTGTAAATGCCTAAAGCTGACCAAGGGGCCCCAGGAAATGTAGCCTGCATCCTGAAGTTATCACAAAAGTTATCACTCTCTGTGCATGCAACTCAGCATAAACCTTCTGGTGTATTCTGAGTCATCCATCCATTCTCCAGAGTATTTGTATAGATCTTTACGAGGAAATGCAGAGTAGCTTTTCAATGAAACAGCTGTTTGGAAAAGCGATATTTTCTCAGCCTCAGTGACATTTAAACAGTTTCTCTTTGTATTAATTGAATATATTTAGGTTGTGGCTTGTTTTTGACCAGATATACAGCTCAGGTGCGTCAGCATTTTCAGACATGTTTTATTTCAACTCAAAAAGACAAAATAACTGCCTCATTTTAGTGGGGGGAGACTGTGGTAATTATTAACAATGCTGCATAAATACGGATTTTTCTAAGCAAAATTACACAATATTTGATGTGCTTATATGGCAGGAAGTAGGAAAGTTTAAGAAATCGCTTTTTTCAGGCATTTGTTAAGAGTAAAAGTTGGATTTATTGTAATTATAAGCAGCTGACTTATTAATGATGAAAACTGCTGCACCTTGTTGCTACTCATTGTCATAGATGCTGTATTGTTTTTGTCTTTATTTGTTATCCCACACAGCCATTATAAACTTTTTGGTTTTGCAGTCACACTGTGGCTTCTTTAATGGTAAAACGTTCTACTAAATGAGTCATTAAAGTAATTTTTAGTTGTTTTTAACACATTTGGCCAGTGGCTATACTTATAACAAGCAACTCTTTAACTGGCTCAGTGGATGTCAAACTCTTGTTGGTTATTTCAGAGCTAACTTTGAAAAATCATTTGAACGATTAGTGTTAGATTGTTATAAGGAACATTTTTGAATTTAGGTAAAAATGACTGTTTTAAATTTTTATACTTCTCTTTCTCCTTAAACAGCTCTCCAGTGGAAACCCCATCTATGACAAATACTATCGTCAGGTATGCCATTGTATCTTTCCCATGGGTTACAGTGTGTGTGCATATAACTCCTGCATAGTTTGGCTTTAAATGGCTCTGGATGGAGATGGAGATAATCAAAAAAAATAAAATCTTCCAATGAGAGGATGTGGTTTTTGTAGTTTCAGCACACAAACTAAACCTGCATTTATACTGCTGTCTTGCAGCGAGCAGTGATCTCACTTCTCTTTATCAGTTTCAGTGCCTGTGTCCAATAAAGGAAGTACCTCAATGAATTAATAATGTTTCCCTTTGCCCAACATGTCAGCAGCACTCCCTTTGAGCCTCATGAAAGACGACTAAGCCAATAGACTGCTGAGAAAATGTCTTTGGTTTATTACCAGCATTGATTTAAATGACTCAGAGGCTCCAAAGCCGATTTTCATGGTTTTCAGTTGTTCCCCATCTTTTTTCGAAGCTAAGAGTTTTGTCTTTGTTAGCATTTTAGCTTGTTATACTGATAGTTTCTAAGATGAGATAAGCTTTAATGTGTGTGTGTGTGTCTGTGTGTGTGTGTGTGTGTGTGTCTGTGTGTGTGTGTGTGTGTGTGTGTGTGTAGGTTGATCTGACTGGCAGCGGGCGAGTGGCAGCAGCTGATGCAGCTCTGTTCCTAAAGAGGTCAGGTCTGGCTGACCTGGTCCTTGGGAAGGTGAGTGGAGACGCAGCTCTCTGTTAGCTTTAATGTTCTCATCGATGCTAACAGATGTTTTATCTGTAAATGTCTCCTTAGATCTGGGATTTGGCAGACTCTGAACGAAAGGGAGCACTCAACAAGCAGGTACCAGCACACTGTCAAGTAGCTCCAAAGTGAACTCCTTCAGAAATGTGTTCATCATCACCAGGCTTACGTCACTCTTCTTCTTCTGCCCTCAGCAATTCTTCATAGCCCTGCGGCTGGTGGCTTGTGCTCAGAATGGCCTGGAGGTGGCGCTCAAGAGTCTTAATGTGGCTGTTCCTCCCCCGAAATTTGTAAGTCTGCTCCTGTGTGCTATAAATCCACACTGTGCCTGCTATTAAAGTCACTGCTGGTTATTTGAAGTCCAATACAGTAGATCTGTGGTATATTCACAGGTGCTTGTTTCACTACAAACAACTTTAACTGTTAGTATTTGGTCTTGGCTTTTAAAAATATTCTTTAATGTATTTTTAATGCAAACACTGAAATAGAAAAATATTTGTGCTCATCTCCAGCATGACAGCAGCAGCCCACTGTTAGCAGGAGGAGGGGCTGCTGACCTTCCCTGGGTTGTCAAGGTGAGGCGCGCTCCAACGTGCTATCTTTTTGTCTAAATATAGTTGTGATTGTTTTTTTTAATTCTCATGTTTTCCTAGTTTTATCTCCTTTTTTGTTACCTTAAGAGAAGCATCATATTTTTTCGTTGTGATCATTTAAGCAGTATGTATAGTTCTGCAATCCCAGTGCTACTTGTTAATAAGCATGAATCAGAAGTACCAAAATGATCTTCTTTTTTCTCTATGTGCAGCTGAAGGCCAACATTTCTCTGCTGCTGAGATGCTGGTTAGCGTCTTGAGTCTGTTTATATTGTTTGAAGATGCTCAGATTTTCATTATCAGCGACATAATTTGAGTCAAACGGACAGATCGGGTCAAAGGGTTCGGAGACAATGTGACTTTGTAACACCAAGTTTATCATATTTGATACACGAGTTTGTAAAACCCTTTTCATCAACAGTGTGATGGGTTTTTTAAGCCTAATGCCCCAAAATGGTTTTGTTTAAAAACAAAAAACTGTGGCCAATAAATTGCACCAAAATGTTGGATGTAACATAAATGACACTAATAAAAAAAAACAAAAAAAAGTCACATTGATATTTAGTTTAAAACAATCTCAGAAGGTTAAATAAAAACTCAAGTTTAAAAAAGAAACCTCTGAATTATTCCGTGGTTCAGGCTTTAAGAGTGGTTAAGAGAAGCAAGGCTGAGACGATGTAGACATGTGCAGAGGAGGGATAGTGGAAATACTGGACAAAGGATGTTAAATATGGAGCTGCCAGGCAGGAGGAAATGAGGCAGACCACAAAGAGGAGGATGTGCAGACTGGTTGGTGTGACACAGGAGGATGTTAGGGACAGGCTGGGATGTCGGGCCTTTGTGGCGACCCCTAAAGGGAGCAGCTGAGAAAAGAGGAGGAAAAGAGCTCTTTTTACATACAAGATTCACAACATGCTTTAATGAAGCCAATATGCAGCTTGCAAAATTAGATTTACAAGCAATGAAAATGGGGAAGAAAAAGCCACTGAAGTTTAAAAGGAAATTAAAGACTAAGAATTACGGGATGTTTTTCATCAAAGCAAAGCTGTGTTTGCAGAACGTTCCCACGTACAGACGTGGTGGCTTTGAATGTTTGTTGACTTGGACAGGTGTATAAGACTGACCTTATCTGACCAGCCTAAGCTGCACATCAGTCTATGCCTCCATTAGAGTGATTTTCATCGTGCAGCTGTTTTATTTTTCTTCCAGCCTGAGGAGAAGATGAAGTTCGATTCCATCTTTGACAGTCTTGGCCCAGTAGGAGGGATGCTGTCGGGAGAGAAGGTCAAGCCCGTCCTGCTTAACTCCAAATTGCCGGTGGACATCCTGGGCAGGGTATGATTCTCAAACAGGACTCTTTGATGTTAGTTTCAAGTTTTTGCTTTAGTGAAAAATGAATAGAAACCACACCATACAGTAACACTGGAGCTTAATACGGAAGATTTAAAGCGTCAAAAGAAAGTGAGAGTCTGTAGCGAGTTGGCGGTGTGGCACTTGTTATTTTGCAGTTTTGTGATGACTGATGCTCATCAATAATATCTCTGTGTGTTGAAGGTGTGGGAGCTCAGTGACATAGACAGAGACGGCATGTTGGACAGAGATGAGTTTTCTGTGGTAAGACTCGAGTTAATATTACAAATAAGGTTTTAGTATTTGTTCACAACTGGTTTCACTTTAGGTTGTTCAACTGTGTACTGAGTCATAGGATCTTAAATTATTTCTATAGTTCTGAATCGAAAAGATCCAAGACATGAGGAGGAAGTGTGAAGACTGAACTGCAGGATGCTGGGTAATCATTTCTCATTACTTTGTTGCCCTTTCCCAGGCTATGTATCTGGTGTACAGAGCTCTAGAGGGGGAGCCTGTTCCCATGTCCCTACCGCCTCCCCTGGTGCCACCCTCCAAGAGGAAAAAACCTTCGGTGCCTCCCGTGATGCCCCTGTTACCCTCGCCCCCCTCTGTCAAAGACAGTCGCTCCTCCCACGCTGGCTCTAAGACTATGCCCCACCCTCCTAAACCCACCCCAGCTCCTGCCCCTGTCCCAGCACCAGCAGCTGCCCCTGTGAGTACAGGCTCCACCTCTCCTGTGAGTGCAGTGCCTGAGAAGTATTATTTTACTACTACACTGGTACATCAACAGTTACGATGATTTCAAACTGGCTAGTTCAGTGTGTTTTTCAAAAGAAAAAGACTAGAGGAAGTGCGAAGGTTTGTGAATCTCTCGTTGCTGTAAGTTGTTCTGAATGTTCCCGCGGTGGCGAGGAGTGTGGTTAAGTTTGTTTTCTCTCTCTGTACAGTGGGTAGTATCGCCAGCAGAGAAGGCGAAATTCGACGAGCTGTTCAACAAGACGGACGCCGACATGGATGGCTTGGTGTCTGGCCCTGAAGTCAGAGATATATTCCTCAAGACCGGGCTGCCCTCCGCTACACTCGCACGGGTTTGGTAAGTACCGTCACTAAAATCTCCTCCTTTGACTCCTCTGTCCAGCTTCTACTCAAAGAATCAGTTACTCTGTTTTACGTGTTTACCTCAGAGAGCTTTGCAATTTGTGCAACATAAGGCATCCTGTGCACTTTGCTCTTCTGTTCACACAAACGAAGGAAAAAGGAGGAAGAAACTCCATGAAGTGCTACAAAGGATGATTTGCAGAGAGACGTGTCATAAGAAGTAGATAAATAGTTATTTTACACTAGAGAGAAATAATAGTGTTGGAAAATAAGGTGCTTATGTGTTTTAACAATAGCATAGATGGTTAGAAAAGATACAATGTTCATAAAACATCTGTGAAACATTCATTTTTACACTTTATTTATAATAAGTGAAATGTAAAAACATATTCTAGTTTCAGCTATAATTGAATGTTGCAAAATGCAGCAGTGCACTATGTGTTCATGCACACGACCAGCAGATGATCTTATTATGGATTTTTATCTTCATGTGGCTGATTAGCTTCTGTGTGTATTGGTTTCCCTCACATAATGATTAGCCTGGCCATCAAAAATAGGCACTGCCTGAAGTATAAATCGTTACTGTCTTATGTAACCTGTGTGCTTTTGTTTTTTTCTTTCCCCTCAGGGAGCTCTGTGACGTTGGAGACATAGGGAAACTGACGCGAGAGCAGTTCGCATTGGCACTTTATCTAATTAATCTGAAACTGACCAAAGGCTTAGACCCTCCACAAAATCTGTCCCCAGAGATGATTCCTCCGTCTGACAGACAAAACATCAAACAGGTGAGTCGCTCTCAACACTCGAGTTGTGAATAATTATTAGTGATGTTTGGGTCCTTTTTACCCCTCAGCAGTAAAAGGTTCATCACCACACGGGCCAGACGGGTAATCGGCACGAACATCCAGTTAATGAACACAATAACTTGAGAACGAGATGATGTAGCATTTTCTTATTGATACTGTAAGGCTACTATTAAAAACGAAGGCCAGAGGTCAAGTTTCCTGAAAATCTTGTGAATGCAGTAACTCGAGAAGGAAGTCACCTAGGATTTACAAATAAATGCTTCCAGGCTGTTACTATTTTATTTGTTATTATATTAATAACGGCCTGATACTAGCCATTTTCCTCATATATCGGTTTCTAGATGAAACAGCCAATAAATGAAAATGTAGTAAGTAGGGCTGCACAATTAATCGTTAGAAAATCGCGATCTCGATTCATACTTATGTGCGATCTCATTTCCAAATGACAACGATTTAAAAAGAAAAAGAAAAAAAAGACGACGATTGTACCGCATTTTGATCCGGGACGTAATCTGCATGAAAACAAGCGCTCACTCTTCCCGCTCAACAAATGACAAGGGCGGAGCCTTGTACCACGTGATACAGAAGGTGGCTGCTAACATTGGCCGGGAAAAAACAACGGAGAGCACGTCAGGGATGACGAGAAAGTGACTGGAACCACCCAAACATCAATAACGGGAACCTTATACAGCGCTTCCCTATACCCGTCGACCTCCCGCAGGCACAAAGAAATTACGGAGGCTATCACTTATCACCTGACCAAAGATATGGCTCCATCAACACTGTGCAAAACGAGGGATTTAGGAAAATGATCAACACCCTAGACAAACGCTACACAGTGCCGTCCAGCAACTATTTTTCTATTGTTGCACTACCTGCTCTGTACACGCAGTGTCGGAATTTCAAGCAGTACAAGATTTTGCAGCAGCGACAAAATGTGAGACATTTGTTGTTTTTATGTTTATTTATTGTTTTTATGTTCAGTCTCAACTGTTACGAAGTTGATGTGCAGTTAATAAGCGCAATAAATATTTATACTGGAAAAGAAAATCGTGAGAGAATCGTGATCTCAATTCTAAGCCAAAAAATCGTGATTCTCATTTTATGCAAAATCGTGCAGCCCTAGTAGTAAGTAAGCTAAAGATGAGAGCAGCACCCTTCAACTGTGTTATGACTGTTGATGTTGCATAGTTTGTCCACCAGAGGGCACTCTGTAATTTCCCTTTTGTAAGTAAGTAAAATTTATGTATTTAGCGCTTTACGCAGATAAAAATCACAAAGTGCTTTACAACAAAGAAAATGAAAAATGAAAAGAATGGAAATACAACAAATAACAATGTAAAACAGTAAAATACAACAAATTAATTAAAAGCTTGCCTATATAAAAATGCCTTCAGCTGCTTTTTAAAAGAACCAGTGGACTCTGTACAGCGTGAAACCAGTGGGAGAGAATTCCACAGCCGTGCTGCCGCTGCCTGAAAGGCCCGATCGCCACGAGTTTTAAATTGAGCGCGTGGGGCCACCAGCAGCCTCTGATCTGATGACCTTAGCAGGAAGAAGAATGCGGTGGTTGTTTGGCAACACCACAAACAAACAACAACTCGCTGATCTGAGCATAAACGAGCTATCTACAGCTTTCTGTGATGATAAAACAAGTTTCTAAATCAGCCGATATATCAGATATTTAAATCACCAAATATTAGTGTTTGGTTTGATTTTAAGAACCCAGCAATCGCTTGCAATTCAAGAATTAAAAACGCACAAAAACTGATCTCATGGACGCTGAAAGATCCTTAATAATGAGACTGATTGATAGTGAATTGGAGCAGCTGTCTTTTTTATAGCTTAAAACAGACTCTGGTTGCAGTTTTCACCATCTGTTTACAGCAGTGACTTATTATAATTTTCCATTGCATCAGCACTGTTAGATATAAATTATGTTGCTTGTCTTAATTGTGGCTTTCAGTGATGTATTTTTCTCTTGGTGTGTTTGTGCGTGCGCGTGTGTGTGTTGTGTATTTTTCCTGTTAAGCTTGCAGCTGTGTGTGTTTCTTATTTCCTCTCTCTGCAGCAGTTTTGCTTTACCTCATCTTTTTGCATTTTTGCATTTCATCCATTTCACGTGCACTGACACAATCCTGAGTGAGTGCGATTCATCAGAAACAGTCTAGTGCATCTCATAACTCTCAACAGGTTGCCTCTTTTCTTATCTGACGTAGTTTTATCCTAAATATTTGAATTTGATATTTAGTTTCCATTTGCCCTTGTGCTTTTGAGGGAAGCTGACGAGAAACAAAGGTTACTGTTTTTAGTTTTTGAGATGCACTCTTATCGCTGTATCTGTTTCTGTGGTTGTGTGTTTTTATCAAGGCTTTGAAGACGTTTTAGATTTTTTAAATTCTCAGTAGTATAGTTTAAGTGGTATCAGCTAGGCTGCTTTTAAAACCGCTGTTCCCCAAGTCCTGCCTGTTGAGCCTCTAACAGTAGATGACTTGATGAAAAGCCGTTAGTGTAGTTCATTTGTTTATTTATGCTGTGACTGTCTTTTGTGCTAAGAGTTGTAATGAGTCGCTGGTCTCTAGTACTTTCATCTGCATATCAGTAATGTGGGTGTTTCTTTCTTATTGGTGATATTGAGTTTTCCTGTCCTCACCAGAACAACGCAGCTAACCTAGCAGCCGACTTCTCTGCCATCAAGGAGCTGGACTCACTGAGTAACGAGATTGTTGAACTACAAAGGTAATCATTTCTCCTCACATTTAAAGAAGAAGAAGAAAAAAAAAGGCAAACACCTACATGTTATTAACAGAGTGATGGCGGTGGAGATGATTTCATTGGTGGTTTATATTGTTGGCCTAAAGATGAAGGGTTCAAGCTGGGTGTTTGTGAGCCTCTGCTGGTTCAGGTATGCAGGAGGGACACACTCGCACTTCTTTGAGCACAGCCAAAGTTCCAGTAAAAATAATAAACACTTGTGTTACTGCAGCAGCAGATGGTTAAAAAGACAAGAGGTGGAAAGGGTCTGAACTGAAAGCCAGTAAGAACTTACTCCATTTGATGTATTTTAACTATATATATAACAGAATGTAACACCTGCACGTGTAAAGAGATGGCCACTCTATTTGATTCCCATACCACCCTAAGAAAATCTCTCTAGATCCGCCCCTGGAGAGGGTGTAAACTGTTTGGGATTAATGGGATTTCTGCACTGATTATCTGCATTGTCTGAAAGTAGTAATCATAATCAAACACAACAGAAATAATGACACACAATAATAGCACTTGGCTGAAGACTCTGCGGTCACTCAGAGTGCAGAGGGAACCTCAGCGCTACTAAGTCCCAAAGCCACTTTAAGTCCGATGAAGCAGAGGGGGAACCTGCAGGTGTTGGATGTGTCCTTGATCCAACACACCTGATTCAAATGGTTAAATCACATCTTTTAAGTTTGGTTGATGTGAACAAACCTCATTATAACAACTTTTATGGGATCTTAAAAGAAGCTTCAAAGAGACCCACGAAGCCTAGAAAGGCTACAAAATAATTTCCAAAGACCTTGTAGGCAATCGCGTTACAATAAGCAGTGTAGAGAAAAATGTGATGGGAGTGTTGTCAGTCAACCTTGGAGTGGGCGTGGTGAGGCGAGTGCACCGAGAGCAAAACCTTTAGTCGTGACGGAGGTTAAAAAAACCCAGGGGAGCAACATAACATCTGCACCAGTCACCTGTTAAAGTCTTTGTCTCCACAGTAAGAAATGCACAAGTTAAAATGGTGTGAATGGAAAGACACAAATAAAACCCAGAGATCACTGAGAAGAGGACAGATTTCTATGTAGATGTGACAACAGTAGTTGAACTCTTTGGCAAAAATGGAAAAATTGTAAATAAATAAAAATACCGAAACCTTCGCACAGTGAAGCATGTTGGCGGGAACATTGGTACGTCAGGGTCTGCAGGCCTCGCAACATTTCAGAAAACAATAGATTTAAAATGATAACGACACAGGGCCATGTGAGGGCAGCAGTGCATAACCTGAGGTTTTCCTTTGTGATCAAAGCAAAAAGAACGGTTCAAAAACAAGGTGATTCGTTTTTCTGAAAGTCATAACCTTGACTTAGTAGAGATCCTGAGACACGACCTGATTCCAGACTTTATGTTTTTACCTTCTTTTGCCTTTTTACTTCACATGATCTTAAATGCCAGATGTACCTTTAAGTAAAAGCTGCAGCAGCTGCACATTTGCATGCATGCTTTGCACATGGAGTCTTGGTTTGAGCAGTTGTCATAGTAATGGATTTCATTTCCATACTTCACAGAACGTAGCTTCCCTTTTCGTGAAAACTGAGAGGGAGAAGTGAGAAAGTGGCCTTTTCTCCTACCTCTGCCTTCCAATAAACACACATAGAATCTCACACACACTAGACGACAGCTGTTTGAAGTAAGAAGGATGGAAACTGAGTTAGAAATCACCTGCGGACAGATTTTATTTAATAAGAGTTTGGAAAGATGAAGCGTCTTTGCTGCTTCAGAATGGGGCAGCAGCCTTCTGTTCAGGATAAGGAGGTTGGCAGTGATGATGACGATGATGCTGATGGGTGAGTAGAAGTTGGGAACGGTTCCCTTTGCATTTGCAGCTCGTAGATTATCAGGGGAGTTGTGTGTTTGTTGTGTGGCGAGCGATAGAATAGTTTTTTAATAAGTTAAACTGAGGCATAATTTCTTTTGTGTCTTCACACAACAATATTAAAATGTTAGTTTTGTTAAGGTTGTGTGAAAAATACTGAACCAAAAACAAATGTAAGAGAACAAGTGAGCAGAAATACTTACTGAAAAACATGTTTAAGTAAAAACACCAATCAGTAGGGCTGTTCGATGTAACGATATATCTGATGACGATATAAAAACATCTATCGTTTCATTTCACGCTATCGTTTGTTTCGTGGTGTCGCAAAATAAACTGTTTACAGCAATATTTTGTTCATGGTTCTGATGGTCACTGGAGTTATTATTAATTTCTTAAAGTTCTCTCTTTCTCTTATATTTAATATAACCACACTACAGACGGACAAGCGCCTGTTTTTATGCGTTGTCGTTAGCAACAACGACGGTAACGCCATCGCGCGTCCGCTTGTTTATGTTCCACATAAAACTTTCACAATAAAGCTCAAGATCCTGTTGAGACTTTTCAAAATAAACTGAATCACGTGAAAGATGCAGATTATTTATGGATGAGAAGTAAAAAGAGCTGCCAGCAGCACGCCGTGTAATAAATACTCACAAAGAAAACGGCGCCGTTACAACTTATGTCTAAAAATGCATCGTTTCATGCATCGGTTAAAACACTCGACTCCAGCTACACGACGCGCAGCTGGAAACACTTCACGCAAGTCGAGCTGCCCGAGATTCACAGAATTTACAGAAAATGTTACATTTTTGTGATTTACATCGTTATCGGACGATAGATGTCTGATATCGGGAGATGAGGTTTTGGTCATATCGCACAGCCCTACCAATCAGGATCTTTTCTTTACCTCTGTATGTGCTTCCTCTTTATTTCCCGTTTCTGGTAATTGTTCTCAGTTTTCCTTTGAGCTGAAAATACTAGCATAAAATCCCTTAGAGTAATCGTTTATATTCAATAACAGAGTTAAATGTCAGCGAGGCCCTTTTTTTGTGTCTAATGGTTTATATAACACCTTACCACAGCACTCAACACAACCACAGGATTCCTTTAAAGGTAGTTGAAGTATCTTTTGTGCACAAGTTATGACGCTTCCTTTCTACCCCACCCGTCTCTTCTTTCCCTCTTGCTGCATGCTTGAAAAAGCGTAGAGAGGATGAGCACACGGACGGCTCAGATGATAGATGTTGGAGGTTGGCAGATCATCACTCGTCCCTCCTCCTCTCTTTCTCCCTCCATCCCCGAAGCAGCCATCTGCTTCTCGCTCTTTCTCCCACGCGTTTGACTGAGCAAGTACGTGCTCGCTTTCTCCGACACTTATCCTCGCAGTCGCCCACAGCGCAGCGCTCACACACACCTGCTCTCGCTGCAGGACTTGATGCTGCTTTCTCTTCTGTAAAGTTGGGAGTCGAGGAGAACATCATGGTGGCCGAGGGAGAGGAGCTGGTGGTGGTTCAGGGGCCGGGTAAAGCATGCTCACTAGAGAGCTGGCTTGGGCTTGGTGGGCTGGTGCTCTCCTTGGTGGTTAAATACACCTGTCTCCTTTGCTGCAACCCCAGGGAGAAGAGCTCTGTGGAGGAGGAGATCAAGGAGAAGGAGGAGGCCATCCGACAGCGCAGCACCGAAGTGCAGGTGAGGTCTCTTTGTGAGATTTTACCTGTATTCTAAATCACTGGTTTACAAAAACTCTTGCTGGAGCACAGTTAATATGCATTAAACGCACGTGTGCATTTCTGTCTGTTTTCCCTTTAAAAACCAACAAACAAGCAAAACAAATGCAGGTTGGTAAGCCCACTTTTATGGGGCTGAATGTTCTGGAGGAGAAGATCAATAACACATTTGATTTGCAGTCTGAGACGCTTGTTCAGAAATGCAGTTAATGATACTCGGAGAGGAAGAGGAAGAGAGGAAGAGGCTGATCTGCCTCGTCTGGGCTCTATTTTGGGAGCTGTTTGGCTTAAAGGGGCGAGGCTGCAGAGTTCTTTAGGAATGAGTCTGAGTGCGAGGGTGGTATCGAAGGAGCTGATGTAGCTGAATTTTGTAGCTGCACTCGATTGTACTTATGTGCGAGTGCTTCTGGTTATTTATATTGTCTGAGTTTCTTTCTGGACGTGGTATACTGCACATACCCAAGCATTCCCCAGAGGTTAAGAATGGGTTTTGTGGCAGTCGTACCACCTTTGAAATCAAACCCTGGAAAGCCAGCCTCAAAACAGGAAGTGATTTTCTAAGAATCAAGGAAATACAAATTTTCCAACATGGGAATTTTAATAAAGAGAAATACATGCAAAGCACAAGCTTTTATTTCCATAATCTATTCTGCCTTAACATGTTGTTGTTAAAGCACTTTGTGTTGTTTCTGATATTAGTATAGAGATTAAAAGCTGCCGTTGTCCTTTCAGCGACAGCCGCTGCTGAAAGGATGTTAACGATCTCACTGACTCACTGAGCTGCAAAACGATCTGCAGCCTGTAAACGAAAATAATTCCACACTGTGACGTCAGCCTTTCTCCCTCCGGCAAGCTGACATATAACAGCCGATTGAGCTTTTTCAGGAATGGTATTAAAAGTTAGTATTTAGACTAGAAATGTGGTTACTCTGTAACACTGTAACACAGCATTAGTGCACATTATTTCTTAAAATCCTTTACCTTCACTTGGTTTCACCAGTTTTTCTTCTCTATTCTTTTCTCACCTTCTTCATAAAACCATCTACTTACATTTTATGTGAATGTATCTTTTTAATCTTTTATTTTACCACATTTCTCTTGTTTTATTCTGTTGAGCTGATGTAACAGTTACATTTCCCTGATTAATAAAGTTTATTATCTTATTATTATTACTATTATCTTTCCAAAAATCAGTAACTTTAAAGGTTGTTTTCCAAAGTCTCTTTGTTGCTCACTTCCTCTCTGTTATTGAATCTCCCTCCCTCCCCCCTTTGACTTTATGTCCACAGGACCTTCAAGATGAGGTGGCAAAGGAAACCGAAGTATTGCAGCAACTTCAGACTCAGCGTCAGAAGGTTCAAGATGCTTTAGATGAGCTGGACCAACAGAAGGCCTCCCTGGAGGAGCAGCTCACTCACATTCGACAGCAGACCAACCAGGAGACCCAACTTGTAAGTTGCCTCCTTCTTCTTTTTTTTTTTTTGGTAACCTTTTGAGGAGCTGTGTAATTACCTCGAATTCTGGTTACTTTCCTTTCAGATCTCATCTCTGCAGTCAGAGCACGAGGAGCAGGAACAAAGGATATGTCAGTATGAGGAGGAGCTGGTCCAGGCCCGAGAGGAGCTTTTGGCTCTGCAGGAGGAGAGCCGGAAACTTCAGGAGAAGGTCCAGGCTGCCCAGGAGCAGCTCACTCCTCTTCAGGAGTCTGTGCGTGACTCTTTCACACAAGTTGCACAGGTTAAAAGCTCTTCCCTGGTTTCGTACAGCATGTCTGCAGAGAAAATTTTTTTCATTTTCTGGCACCTACGCAGCTGATGGAAATGTTATTTTCCGACTGTAATCAGCAGGCTTCACAACTGTTACATACCCAAACGCATGAATAATAGCTGCAGTGATTATACTGAGCACTTCCAGAATTTCTGTGTGGACAGATGGAGCAACACTGCTGTGGCTCCACCAGTGTGTTCCTAATGCTGTACTTTCTGTGTACACTGGCTACAGAATTCATCATATCTGTGTTTAAGTGTTGTCTCTGCTCTTTAATCGTGTCATTTTTTTAAAAAATTATTCTTCTGGCACGTAGGTCCAACAGAAACTGAACGACCTTCAGGTGGAGGAGCGATCGGTGACTGCTCAGCTCAGCTGGAAGAGAGCCCTTGAGGACAGCTCTCCTGTCATGGTCAATGGATCAGCAGGCCCCGCTGCAGAGCTCCACCATGGGGACCTCTTCCAGAGGGACCTCTTCCAGGAGGACCTTAAAGAACTGAGAGTGGAAGAGCATTCAGATTCAGAGGAGAGAGGTGGCGTGAATGAGAAAGAAAAGGAAGAGGAGAAGGACGAAGAGAGTCCAAAAGCTGGGGAAGATGAAAAGCAGAAACATGATGCCTTGGATGATCTCTACACTGATATGTACAGTCTGTCGAGCCTTGCCAAGCCCTGGGAGAGCAATGTTAGGGTAAAAACTACATGAATAATAATAAGAAGCACTCTTACAGTAGTTTTAAATGTGGACAGACACAGCTGTAAAGCCTAATGCATGCTACAACTGTGCCGTGTTCTTGTGGAAAACATCACAGATAATCTCAAAAAAATCAAAGTGAGTCTCAAAGGAAACTGTCCAGCGACAACAAAAACATGTAACCTACACATTACAATAACCAGATGAGCTACTCCGTCGCTTTAACTCAAAGCTTTTATCAAAAAAACATCAGATGCTGTCCTTTTAAGTTGTGCGTCTGTTCTCTAAGCAGGAACGCAGCAGCCCTGCGCCTGGTGTCTCCTCTGAGGTTACAGAAGATGCAAAGGAGTCACCTAAGGAGACCCCACCGAAGGTAAACTTATTCAAGGATACCCATGGAAACCAATAAACAGCATCTTTGTGACTCCTTGTATTCTTCTGTTCTTCTTCTTGATTTTTATCATTAGTATTTGTTTTCATTGTCATCAAGTGTGACATTTGCGATGTTTGTTTTACCCACATTTCTTTGAAATGTTGTCTGTGAAAAGCTGTTTGTACCAGAAACAGATATGAGATGTTGGACATGCAGCGTGCCAGACAAGTGCATAGACTGACAGCAGACAGCAAAGATGTAACCTGATAGTTGTGTTAAATCATCAGATGGGTGTTAAAACCCCTCCCCCTCCATAACCACAATGCATGATTCACTGTAATGCTCAGAGCGCCGTGCCTCTCTGCGACAGGTTGCATCACCAGAGCCAGAGAGCAAACAGGAGCCTGCAGAGCCGACAGAAACAACCAGCTCCCCCTCTCCGCCTCAGCCTGGCCCTCGCTCCTTGCCACCACAGGGCAGCCCTCCCTCCCTGCCTGAGATGGATTTCTTCCATTCAGACCCTTTTACCGATCGTAAGACCTCATCGTGAAAAATCAAGATGGAAAAAAGAGTGTTTTTAATGCTTGATGAACGCTGGCAGACTGATGGTGTGTTTTCCTTTGTAGACGATCCTTTCAAAGAAGATCCTTTTGGAAAAGCAGATGTTGGAGGTGCTGCTCAAAGTATTTAATGAGCAATAAATCTCACACAAGCACAGCATTGTTTTATTTATATATATATATATATGTCAAATCTGACGAGTGGGTCATATTATTCATTATGTTTCTCCTGCTGTTTATGTTCAATCAGATCCTTTTGGAGGAGATCCATTCAAAGGCTCAGACCCCTTTGCTGCAGACACTTTCTTCACACAAACCTCCAGCACCCCGTTTTCCTCAGAGGACCCTTTCTCTGCTTCAGCCGACCCCTTCGGTACCACTTCTGGCGTGCCGGAGCCAGACCTCTTTGCAGCCAAGGTGAACGATACAGCAGCCGTACCAGCGGGTCCGGATCCTTTCGCCTCCAAATCCACCAATCCAGCGGCAGCATCCAACGATCCGTTCAGCTCTAAAGGGAACAACACAGCTGATTCAGACCCGTTTGGAGGCAAAATGACCAGCACAAAGGAGGCAGACCCGTTTGGTTCTCAAGATGGAGACAAGGATCCTTTTAGCAGCTCCCCGCCGAGCTCTGATCTGGCCGTGGTGAGTAGACCCGCTAATAAAACCTGTTTACAGTGTGTTGAGTAAGATTTTTGTGACAGTATTTTAAGGAATATAATTATTTGTCCCAGATGTTTTATTACCATTCTAAAGGTTTGCAGTAATTTTAGAAGCACCAAGCGTGTACGTCTGAACGCTTATCATCCACTTTATTATATATACTTTATATAAAATATTCTGTATAATAGTTTAAATGCATAGAAATGTGTTAATATCGCTGACATGTAAATTGTTAAGAGGAAGCAGAAACTAATTTATAGCAATGAGTCCCAAAGTTTGGATCTTAGCCCTCTGCTTATAGAATACGTTAGTTTTCTTCCCTTATTGGCTCAGAAAGAGTTAAAATACTGGTGGCCAAAAGAGGAACTGCTACGTTTTTGTTTGATGTACATGCTCTAGTTGTAGTAAATCACGTTACAGGTGAGCGTGTTTGTCCACGCAGGCTGGATTATAAAAACGTCTGATGTGTTTGTTTGTGTTCAGAAGGACACCGCAGCATCCAATGACCCTTTTGCTCCCGGTGGTACTGCGGTCAGTGCCTCCTCAGATGCAGGTACAGCTTGTGGCATGGCACTACCCACTGGGGACAGAACTCATAGCAGCAAATAAGAAAATAATGAAAAATAAATAAAGTAAAATGTGCTTTTCTGTTAATAAGATGCTGGATGAGGCATTGAAGTGCTGCTGATTTCATGCACTCGGTCGTTTTTCATTGATGTTTCAGATCCGTTTGCTGCTGTGTTTGGTAATGAGTCATTTGGAGGAGGCTTTGCAGATTTCAGTGCTTTGGCAAAGGTAATTTCCAGATTTTTAATATATCCTCTGTCACGTTGTTTCGTGCATCGTATATACATCATATATAATAAATAATTATCCAGTCTTATGTTAGTTTTGGTTTATATTTGCAACTATAAAAAGCCCCGTGTATGCATGGAAAGGAATCTATATGCACAAAAATGCCTCTGTCTCTGCATAGTAGTAAATCCTGCAGCCTTCTGCAGCCTTGAGCTACTGTGCAGAGAGCTCTTGTGAACTCGGTGTGGAAACACTAATTTCACACTTGCTGTTTACACCACAGTACCTGTACCTTTATTTATCGGGGTTTTACTGATGTGCAACAGAGCTTGCGAGTGATGACGCACATCCTCTGTACTGTTCTTAAGTAAATTCATGCACCTTCCTGCTTATGTAATCGATATATTTGATTTGGTTGGACCTTTTCATTCCAGTCAAATGGTGCTGAGCAGTTTGGAGTTGACAGCAGGAACCTCTTCCAGGAAGAGAGCCAACCTGCCAGCTCTGATGTGCCCCCAGCCCTGCCGCCAAAAACGGGTACGCCTACCAGACCTCCTCCTCCACCTCCAGGTCAGTTGATCCTGTTATCCAGAAAACAAAAAGTGCCTGTAGCTCTGTTCGGTTGGAACAGTGTAGCTATCACACGTCTGGGGATGTGCCAACAGTGTTCATGAAATAAAACCTGCCTTTGCTGAGTCTGCCCGTCTGTGCCCTGTCAGGTAAGAAATCATCCATCAATCGAACGGAGTCCTCCGACTCCTTCCATCGACGAGGAAACTTCATGCCACAGACTTCAGGAGACTTCTCCTCCTCTTCCTCCTCCTCCTCCCTGCCTGCAAAGGATCCTTTAGCCGACCCCTTCGCCCCCTCCTCCCCTCCTCGCCGCAACGCACGGGAAGCTGATGGATTTGCCAGCTTTGACAAAGTGAGCAACTCCCTCTCCCCATCTCCCTCACCTCCACCTGAATGTCAATAGCCACACCCTCTTCTCTCTCTCTCTCGCTCTTTGTTTTTTGTTTTTTTTTTTTCCCCCTCCTTGTAAACCAACATGTAGTTACTCAATAAGGATACAACCCCGAACAAATCAGGCCAGCTCTTGAAATCACTCCATCCACTGCCAGTGACGAGCCTTAAAGTGAACTAACCAGCTTATTAAAGCGTCACACGGTAGCACAGGCTTGTAATGTTACGTGATTCATACGCTTCTCCCAGTTAAAACAATAAAATCTTGTAAATCTTGTATTTTTGTTTTGGGTTTTTTTGGTTTCTTTTGCATTTCTGCTGCTTGTGTATATGTCAGACTATTGTTAATAATACAATGCTGTCTAACCCTGTAAACATTTCTTTTCACCCGCTCTATGGATTCATATGGATTCATAATGAGATTCCACCTCATATAACTCTATGACTGAAGATGCACTCTTACTTTGTGAGGAAATGCATAGAAATTATAGATGCATTTATATATTCTTATTATATATTCTATATAAACCAGAATGTTTGGCAGTGAATGGAGAGATGACAGGCTGCTTGTATTTGGCTTTTTATTAGCCATCCCAACTTTGTCACATTGACATTACTTCCTGTGCAAGTTTAGAGTCTCTATAATTACTGATGTAATTATCTGAGTTTTTATTCTTCTTTTAACACTAAATTTGTCTCAGGGAAATTTTCCCCACCCATGGGGCATAGTGGCATCAGTTGACCTTGACTCATGAGCTGCAGAGTACTGCATTCATACTCTTTATACCTCAAACTTTTTTCAGTAAGTTGCTGTTTTATAACATCACTGATTTGGGATAAACACCTAACGTCGCCTCGAAACATTAAATCAGTGCAGGCTGCTGTGAAAACTTGAACCCAAAGAATGGTGGAGGGGTTTCTTTTTCCTCTCGTTCATTAATGTGCTTCCAAAATTAATATATCTATAATAATATAAATAAAAGAAACCAAGAGGAAGATGATTGTGTGGGTTAATCTTCGGGTCATGGTGGTCAGAGTAGTTCTATTAGTTCAACCCTTTTTAATGCTGCATGGAAATGACCTGTGAAGTTGCATCACATCAGAACACTGTTGATCCTCTCCTGTCACGCGAGCACCCTCGCATGTACCTGTCAGTCGCCGACCTGCATGCACTAACTGTGTCTTTGACTCTCGTTGACTTACACCAGTGCCTCCACCGTTTCTCGAATCATCAAAGTTTCCTTTCCCCTTTACTCTGCTGCTGTTTATTTATACAGGCTTTCCTCTGTTCATCCATCCATCCATTCATTCATCAGTTTGTGTCCGAGCCCTCGTGTGGTCAGCAGTGTGTTGTGGAGAAGCAGATTGACTGTATTCTCTCTGTGTTTCTTTACACCTCTGTTTAATAAAGTGTTGAATCAAGGCCACCATCTCCGGCTTCTATGTGCATCCATGACATCACCACCTGTAAACCCCTGAGTTTAAAGGATCAAGTGTTTTACACGTTCAGTTCATTTATCAGAGGTTTGGACTATGCTTCAGCTTACTGTTGATAACTTCCCACACCATGTGTTGCATTTAGGATGATTTCCCAGCCCATAAAAACCCCTCTGCTGCTTGTCAGCTCTGTAACTTCTGCATTAAAGTGCCACTGCAAACAGAGACTGTAATTCAGCGAATTACATAAATTACCACATGGGCACAACAGTAATAAAGTTAGGTGCATTATTAATCATTATAGATTCATATCAAGGAAGGTTCATTTGGCCACAGGTTGCTCTGTGTGTATATTTGTTACCCGGCGAGACAAACGGATACAAAGAAACCAGGAAATCACATTTCTGAGAAGCTACAGTGCGGTGCGCTGTCAAGTAAATGAACTAAAACATGTAAAACTCTGTAATGATCCTTTAAAGTATCTTAACATGAAAAACAAATAAGAAGACTGAAGTTTTTTTCTTAAAGCTGTGGAATAAAAAGCACCATTTCTCTTTCCATGTATCTTATTTATGTTTGATTTCATTCATATTTAAGAGAATTGGCGGGATGTTGTCTGCAAACTGATAAGTGCATGTTCTCTGTCAGATCCATCACATTCTGTACACGTCTTCTCGTGCATGTTCTTCATACCGTGACCTGTTATTATCGGCTCTAAAACAGTTGCTAGGAGACTCTCCTTTGCATGGCTGGATGCACGTGGGATGACCTCTGTTGCTTCTGTCTGTCATTCGTTAAGAATAATGAACATATTTACACAGTCTGCAATGATTAACCAATTTAACCAGTGGACTGTGTTTCCTTCCTACTCTTTTTGTGACCGTGGAGCTTTCAGTGCATGTGATTGTGGTCCTACAGCTGTGCCTGTTTGTCTTCAGGCTTTTCTAGCATCGCAGTCCCTGCTTTTGCCCTGATCACGTGGCTGCAGGAACTTTGCAAGGGTATATATGTTGGAGGGAGGACTGTTTTCATTTGGATAAAGGGAAATCAATTTCAATCGCCTTTCCTGTTCTTTCTTCTTTTTTTGTAATTTGTTTGGGAGGTCTGCAAAAGTCTGGATTTCTTTTAGACCTCATTGCGATGCACCTTTCTCAGAATGGGCACAGAGCTACAAATTTAGACTCCAATACATGATTTTTTTTTTTAGCACCCTACAATTGTGCGTCCTGACTCACTGTCTTTGGTTTCTGGCACATAAATGGTGATTACAAATCAGTCAAAGTGTCCACTTTGAAGGAAAAAGGTCTGCTGCTGGTGGGTTTTCAAAGTTTCAAAACTGCATCCATTGTGTGCGTATGTTTCTTTGTTTCCTCTGTTTTCATGGAGCAGTATCCAACCGAGGAAGACATGATAGAGTGGGCAAAGCGCGAGAGCGAGCGAGAGGAAAAGGAGCGACTCGCCAGGCTCACCCAGCAGGAGCAAGAAGACCTGGAGCTGGCCATCGCTCTCAGCAAGTCTGAACTCTCCTGAGGAGGCCCCGTTCCCCTCTACCGGTCTGGCTCGGCACGGCACGGCACAGCTTGGCCCGGCCCGGCCCAGAAAGCACCAAAGCAAAGTGGGGATTGTACAGGACTGATTCAGCATCACCTGCTGACCCCATGAAGAGACTCAAAACTCATCTCTAACTCGTTCAACCCCCCGACTGTCCATGCTCTGTTGGTCTCCGTGGTTTTGATAGAGGAGCGTAACGTTTTTTCTTTTTCTTTCCCCCTTTTTAGAACGAAGATGCAAGAGAAAACTTGTTCTAGTGTTAATGTCGTTTTGCCTTCATTTAAAATCTAGGCAGCAAGCGCTGCGTTAAGTCCCCAGAATGTAATTTATTGTAGCGCGCGCTCGAAACCACTAAACAAACTCGCTACATTTCATTAAATCTCAGCTCTCTTTGTGATGAGATTTTAATAGACGTGCTAATTTTCTAGAACTCAAGAATTCCCAAAATTTTCTTTTTTGGCTCTTGATTAAACTTCTGAAGCAACCACAGTGAACTGGGGAGATTCTGTTTCCCAGTTTGTTCTGTTCTGTAACTCTGTAGGCCCTTTCTAACAGAGTGACCGTGTCCCACTCTCATGCAGGGAAGATGATTTTTTTTGTCTTCATTTAGAGTAGGTCAGGATATTTCAACATTTCTTCGTGTTTAACTGGAAGTTGCGGCTCCTGTAAGATGTGAAATGTGTACAATGTGTAGATTTATACTAAAATGGAACAAATCTGCCACAGCTACCTTTTCCTTTGAAATGTCAGTCCTACCTTGCTCACCGTAGCACCTGTGTCGTGAGCATTAAAGCGCTGATTTGTGTGTGTCGGGGGAGGTAATAATGAATGAAACTACAGCCATCACATTTTATGACTTGGTTTGCATTAAAAACTAGGCCACACTACAGTAGGATGCAGAGCAGAAAGCACACGATCTGTTTTTCTAACATACAAACTAAGTTTCTCTCAAGTACTTTAGGATCTTTAAATCGGTCTAAATTTTTAAATTCATTGTGGCCCGACATGAAAGAATGTAACAAAACGCAAGGTTGTCATAGATGAATGTAAGCGTGGATCCTACCTTAACTGATCATTAGCTGTATCATTAATCCTGATTGATCTCCTTTAGGGAAACTCTCAAGGGCTCCTCAGCAGCTTGAATGCTGAGTGGATAACTACAACTGTGCGGTTGTCATGTTACCATGTGAACATTTGGTCCCATTTCAACGTGTGCCAGAGTCGGTGCTTCACTTGTTACCATTTGTACGATTTTTTCTTTTTTTTAATCCAGGAGTCTTTTGCGCTCTGAGAGACTCCCTGGATTTCAGAGTCTTACACAAACACGGTGAAAGTTGTTAAGTGTTTCTACTTTTTCGTTAGAGCGGTGTATTTTCTGGCCGTGCACCTCGACATCTGCAGGGATTTAACTTGCAAAAGACCTCAGATGTGCTGAGGATGCACGCTCACATTGCACTGTGTTATCGGGCCTGTTGACAGCCACACGGCGGCACAGGAAAGCTTTACTAAACGTGACAGAAGGTTTTCTGCTGAGGAAAGGCTACGATGAAGTGCGAGAGGCCTCTGCTCTCTCATTACCTTAGCTCATTTCTTATCAAATAATGCACAATGTTTTGGACAGCTCTTCCTGTTCTTACTTCTTTAATGTTTAGCAAGAAGATGGTTTCCTCTTCTCATGTCTAACCAGTGTACTGTCTGTGGCTCATGCAGTACTTCCTACTGAGAGCTCTCGCTCTCCTACAATGAAGTTTATTGTAAATACGGGAGAGCACAGCTGCATGTCTGCTCTCCAGGTCTCTTGTTGTACTAGTTTCATTGCTTCATTGTCATGTATTCAAACAGGTTACTGTCATTTTTAACAATTCTGCACATTTCTCAAAACCAGAACCACTTACTGTACGTTTCTAGGCTTATCCATAAAGCTTTTTAAGCTTCAGGCTAATTGTATTTTATTTTGTACTTCCTAACTTGTAAGAAAAATCATTATTGGAAGGCCTTGGCCATGTAATGCATTTAATTGAAACAGAATAAATATTAAAAATATGTAGTTTTGCAGTTGGTGCATTTTTTTTCCCAGAGCATCTTCTTAATATATTGTCATCCACACGTGATAGTGCCCCTCCTGTTTCTCCTCGTACGACGCACCAGATCCCCGGAGACACAGCAAACCTCCAGGAGGAGCTTCAAAACTGGAGAGAAGTCAGTCAGGAGGAATAACGAGAGCGTAATTGTCTGTGGTCTCCACCTGCAACACCATTCCCTTTTTGGAAGTTGCCTTGTTGTTGCCTCCTGTGCACCTGTTGTCACTTTGATTTACAACAAAGGAGGTGACATGGATTCAGTGCCTCGTGCTTTTGGCTGCTACTTTTCGAGATGACCACAGCAGATCATCAGTCTCCATCTCATCCTATCCCTAGCATCCTCTGTCACCTCTGCATGCCATCCTTCTACATCCACGAATCTTCTCTGGGATCTCCCTCTTTCCCTCCTACTTGCCAGTTCCATAATCACCTTCCTTTTCCAATATATCCACGATTCATCCTCTACTCATCCAAAAATAATCTCAGCCTCATTGATTTAGTCTCCAGACTGCCCAACCTGATGTCCCTCTGATGTCCTCATTTCTGAATACAAGAGCATATATTTCGTTTATAGTATTTAACTATAGTGTCACGATATTTCTTTTTTATTTAGATGTAAATATATTATAAAGACAATTATAGTATCATAAGCACCTTTAGTACTCATAAACAACCCGTGTTTACATTTTTGTCACCTTTCAAGTATTTCTGTAAACACGCTGGGCAAATAAATAAAAATAAATTAATTAGGTAATTAAAACAAATTATACAAAGCAATTCTGTAATTTTATAGAAAATCTATGTAACATTTATCCATTTTAAGCAAAATTATTTTAATAAAAAATAAATAAACATTATTTGCTTAAATATATTTTTTTGTAAAAATATATATCTTTTAGTATTTTGGGCATTTAAGATCATATTTATGAATATTATTATCGCCTGTGTTTACTTCCTTGTTTGTAGCGTCGTTCTAACAAGGACGGCTTTAGGACCGCGGGGCGAGCGGCTGCATTCCTGTGCATTTAAATAAAAGTCATTATTGCGTTGATGAGCAGCGCACCTTTCCACGTCAGGAAGGAGGAAGACGCGCAGCAGCAGCCGCAGCAGCCGCTTTCCCTTCCACTCGCTCCCGTGTGACGTGAGTGTGAGCCGCTGTGTAAACCTCTCCGGTCGCTGCTGGTCCTCCCGCGCTGTGGAATGAGTTTCATGAACAGCTGGAAGCGAAGCGTGAAGAAACATGACAGCAAAAGGTGAGTGGAAGAAAAAAGCTCCCGGAGATCGGCGCGTCTTGGTTGGCCGTGTCCGTGCTTGTCTGTCTCCGAAGTCAGGCCGGCTGCTGGGATTTAATCGCACTTTTTTTTTTAAACCTAAGGCCTCATGTGACTGCGCTGGCCTGAGGTTATCGTGTCATCGCGCTGAGATTGTTGTTTAGCACACACTGGAGCCTGTGAACACGAGATTTCCAGGACCCTTTAATAAACCACGCAAACCACCGGTGTGTGTTTGAGTCTCTGTAGTTAATAAAGGAAGAGGCGGAAGAAACCTCCTGAGATGTTTGGTGTCTGTTCCTTCTCTCTTATTATTATACGTGTGTCAGTCTGTGTTCTGCATCCTGTTAGTCAACCTGACGCTCATGATGTGTCAGTCAGGACCACGCGAGCTTTTTACTGTTAGTGAAAGTCAGATTTAACAGGCTGATGTAAACAGTCCAGTTTTATGTTACTGCCCCATGTTTGGCTTATTTTCCCAGAGATAACTCGCACTGAATGTTTATTATCCAGTGTCCCATTATAATACTTGCAAGGTTTCAAGCTGCCTTTCCCTTTGACCTGGTCATTTCAGGTACTTTGCAGCTGTTTGAGGCTCAAAGAGGGAAGTGGATCTGATACTTTGTTTTGTTTCAAAAAGGGAGAAAAGTCTAATAATGTAACACTTACGTGTGTTTAGCCACTGATATGATCCATCATCATGATCCATGTAGTTTGTGATGTTCTGAAGGGGCCCAACACTTAGCTGGGTCTCTCTTGTGTTTTGTTACACATTCATGTGTAAATAAAGTTCTAACTAGAACAGACGATTTTAGCGATTTCACTCCAAAACAAACAACTTTAGTTTTTTTCAGGACATCTGTTGATTGTATGATGTTTATATTGATTAGCAGCCTACTTCAGGCTGTATGTAAAGTGTAGGTAAATCAGAATGCGTTCCACATTATTTACATATATTTTATATATGTTTGAATATCGATGGTGTCAGTTTTATTTAACAATTCTCATTATGAATTTGATGCCCGCAGCATATTTAAAAACGTGCTGGGACGCTGACAAGAAGAAAATACTCGGTCATATGCTGGAATAGTATCGAGTATTTCAAAAGTTAGACTTCACGTTCTCGCTACAGCCCTTCTTTCCTCAGACGTTCCCAGCTAACATCCTCCTCTTACCTTAATGAGATTCAGTCTTGTGGGGGGGTTTTTCCCAAGCTGACCTTTGACCTGTTCACAGGGATGCAATGAATCCACAAGACGTACCTGACAGCCCGGACTCCCCGAGCCGGTACGGTGACACTGCGCACGTCATGTTTTCGTACTGTGAGGAACAAAGAAAACATAAAGCCGCTGCTAATCGTGGCTCTGATTACAGCATAACAATAAGTTCAACTCTGGCAGGCGGTTACGCTCAGACTCATCTGCATTTCTCATCTCAGGTTGTCAGATGTAAACAGTCCAGAGCTGGACTCCATCATCACAGACTTCAAGTAAGTTTCTTTAAGTTCACAAATGTAATTTAACAAGTTTAAATATTTGCTCCCACATCAGCCCAGTCTCACACAGGTTTCCCTGAAAGTCATCAAGTTCATATCTGTAGAAATCAGCGAGTCATTGTGGCCTGGGAGTGTCCTCATGTATCGGTGTCCATATTTCTCTCTCTCACGATCGTGTTCCTCAAACAACAGCTTGTCTTTCAGCTGGTTTTCATCCCTCGAGATTGCTCTCCTTTCTCTAAAACAGCCCGATTCTGTTCCCGTGTTTCAGGTTACAGATACCGGACGACAAAGATGGTCTGGAGTCAACAGATCCATCAAATGGGTAAGACTGGCCTGTGAGCTCTCTCAGATCATACACGAAAACCGAGGCTTAGATTACAGAAATGTTTGGTTTCATCGAGACACAAAGATGCACATGTTGAGGTAACAAAGTCGTCAGGAGTTCACGGGCAGCTTCTCCTGCTTGTGATATCAATAATTCAGACAGAGGGAACCTGAGAATAACATCATCTCTCAGCACTTTAGTTATGCCTGAGTGTGACCGTGAAAGCATCGCTTATTCAAACTATGATGAGCGTTCAGAGCCTGGAGAAGAAATGTGTGTCTGTCTGATAAGATCAGAAGCACGTAATAAAGTGAAAGGACGCTTTTAGATATTTATAAAATACTGGCAGCTAGTTTGAGTTTTATAAATATTTTTAAAAGGTTTTATTTCAGCGAACATCTGCTGTTTTTAATTGAAGACGTGTTAAGTTGTGCTGATAAATGAACATTTGTTTGTATGTAAAAGCTTTAAACATTTGATTTGCTTCTAATTTGTTTTATATCACATGTCTGTGAGCTCTGAAATCTTCGATTTTGCCAAACCAGGTCCTCAAAAACCCCGGAGACATCGCACATCGATGTGAACTGAAATTCACATCCGTGTGCGACAGCCTGGACTCCTCAGTCATGTGACAGGCGCATAGATGTGTCCAATAGGAACCCACTGCCTGCTAAATATGTCATGACCTGTTTGGCTGATCAAAGTGAAAAACCAAAACTTTGTAAACGAATGTGTTTTTGCAAGTTGTGCAGTGAGCAGGAGTGTTTTTGCACCATGAGGAGGGCAATGAGAATCTAATTATCTTCAATTTAAACCCATGACCCTCTGATGTCCTCACAGCAAACACGAGAGATGAAAGCAACAATTAGGCTTTTCTTTTTACTACTCTCTATAAAGATAGATTTTTTTCCCCCTCTTGTTTCTGCGTCGGACACTGAGAGAGCTTTGTTCTCGCGATTGTGCTTTCATGGGAGCAAAAACAGTAATATGTACGAAGCCCTTAGCGCGGTCACATGACTGTAAGCTTTATGCTGTCTCTTGATCTCTGTGGAGCTCGGTTGCTTTAAAGTTCACAGTTAAACTTTGGAGAGAGGAATAATATGTGTGGCTGTTATAGTATCTGAAAACAGGTAATTCTGACTCATTGACGGTCAGTATTTTCCTCCAGCGTTGAGGAACAAACTGATGCAGATGAATTTTTATATCGGATTTGTTTTGTCAGTAATTTGATGGCAATAATTCAGTAAATCATCAGTGAGAATAAAGAATACTTTATTTAACCTGGTGGCCCTTTCTATTAAACTCGGTAATAACATGGTAATAGTGGGGTATTTTAGTGGAAACATGAGCATGGCAATAGCAAGTTAGTAACACTTAATTACTGAACTAATTAATACATTATCTGCTACCAGTGGTTATGCATGACTAAACACACTGAAGTATATGTAACTGGATAATAACGGGCCAGAAACTGGGCTAAATATGTGGGAACAGTTACGCCTTTGAGGCAAAACCAGTTAGTAGTAGAGATGTGTTTGTAGTAATAACCAGGAATCAGGACTATTTCTATTACATCTCATAGTAATCTCATTAAAAACCTGGCACCAGGAAAAAAAGTATTTAAATATAAAAATATAATCATGTACGCAAACATAGGTGCTATGGGTATTTTACATTCCACCTCTGGGAAGGAAGCAATTTCTATATAACAATGCAGGCTGAGTGGTGGTTTAACTTCTAAAGGTTCATTAGTGGGCAAAGACGTGGCTTCATAAACATGCTGTGATTGCGCCGTAAGACCTTTGAAGGGAAGCAAAAACAGCAAATTAGCATATGTTATATGATCGTGTGGCATGAACGCTTAGCTGTCTAATAAAACTGTTTCACTAAAAATACATTTACTTTAATAAAGCTTGAGTGTAGAAGTGCTGCTCCTTGGTTTAGCTGGTCAGATGTGAGATTTTGCTGCTTTTGCATCATTTCTAATGTGACAGTAAACATGATGTATTTAGCATCTTGGTGTTTCAGAGCAAACACACTGTTGCAGATTAAAAACTGACAGTATCTGGCATGCCACACACCCGAGCACACACTGGGGTCATGCATGAAACAAAGACTGTCAGCCTCGGCTTCGCGTGCAGCGCCACAGGTGGAAACTCATCAAGTATATTTGCTCAAGCGTGGTCACGGCGAACCCACCGTTTACCCATGATTCCTCTGGGAACAACACCCACGATTATGCAGGAAACACTACACAAAGGTCACGGTGGCTGACTGGTGAATGCATTATCTGAGCACGGCTTCATAGCCAGTGGGATGAAAGAAAAAGGAGGCGGTGCTTAACAAAAGTGGTCCAAAGAGAGTATGCAGTGCTGAGGTATCATGTTATGACACAGACTTGTTTGTAGTTTCAGTATTTAAGACAAAAAAGTAAATCCGCACAGCTAACTGGGATTAAACTCCTCGACTTTAATGTAAAACAAAAAGCCTGACAGCTCTGATTACTGCTGCTTGTTTAGTAGTTTTAACTGCTTATTAAAGATGCGGGTCGAGACACTACAGCCGACATGTGTTTATGTCGCTCTCTCACCCATTCACACTCACTCACATCTAATGGATGACTGGCAATGGGCTGTTCGCAGTGATATACAGCTCAAGTCCTGGCACTGCCCCCGTTCTCCATTCACGATTTCACATTATTTCTCGTGCGTCTACATTTTGGAGCCGCTGCGCTGCATCGACGTCTATTCCTGGACCGTCTGCCCGCTGCAGTGAGCAGCCTCTGCAGCAGCCCTGACCAGCTGCGCCTCAGAAAGCCACATTTCTTTCCCACCTACAGTGGCGGAAAGCGTTTGTGTCTTTTTATGATGAAAAATGGCTTCGTGACTATGAACACTTCTGCTTTTAGCACATTGTTCCTCCAGGGTTTAGTTTTTGGAAGTATCCTCACTACACAGAAAAATCCCCTGACTGTGAAAGTGGGCATTTCAGCCATGCTCCTGATTTTGCATTAACCAATCAGAGCGGAGACTGCAGTGTGGAGCATGAGGGTGATGATCAGACGAGGTGGGCCAGGCTTTCTCTCCATGTGTGATAGTCATCCCAGTCTTATTAAGGGCTGCTGTTGCGTCCTACCTCTCGTTCCTCCCTCGTTTTCTCTCTCATTCATTCATCCCTACCTCTCTCTCTCACGCTCTCTCTCTGCCTAACCTTCTGCTGTTTCTGCTGCTACAGAAAGAGACACACAGCATCGCACTGCACTGCTGGAAAGGCCTCACAGCCACTTCTGCTATTTTCTCTCTCTTACTTTAGTCGCTTTCTCTGCGTCTCTTCCGGACACACACACACACACACACTTTGCCAGATGAAAATGTCAGGGGAGGAAGAGACTCTGTCGAACGGGTAAGATGCGCTCATGTTGGGATGACGTGTGTTTCTCATGCAGTCGTGAGAGTGTGAGATGCTCTGCGAATGTGACTTTTCCTGCCGTGTTTCCATTCTCATGTGACGTTTGTTTTCCACTCCTGTCTCTCAGGCATGTGGACAAACTCGCTCGATTTATTGTCGGAGCTGCTCGCTTCTTTTGTTTCCCGTAACAAGGCCTTTGAACATGTTATACCAGCCTGTCTGATATGCTGAAAGCTCTGTGCCACACAGTTGATAAAACTAATGCTTTGTCACTCCAGGAAAGGGTGTGTGCGTGGTTGTGTGGGTGCATGTGTGCACTTATTGGTTTGCATCAGCACATGCAGTGGTGTGTGAGTTTGTATGAATAGTGGCTCTGTGTGTGTGTGTGTGTGTGTGTGTGCGCGCCTTTGCCTGATAATGATCATCATTGTGTAATTTGCTCTCTGGAGAAATCAATGCAGAATTTGAGACTTGCTGACTTGAACCTAATTAAATTATTTGGACGATGCGTGGTATGCACAGCCTGAACCTCGCACACTCTCCTCTTTCTGCCTTTTCTTTCCTTCACACAGTCCATTTCCTTTATTTTTGTTCTTCTCAGATTGCGTTCAAGGTGCCAAAATCTTGTTTTCCAGTCAGCCGGTACCAGTTGAGTCGGTTTCCACCTATAAGGAAATGATATATCCACTGATGCTTTGCTGTCCTCAGCTTTGCAGACACAGGTTTCAGCCTTTATCTAAAAAATCTGAATAGCAGGAATCCAGTAACACAAAAAATGTGGTTTATTATTAAAATCAGCCCTCTTTTATGTAACATGCACACAAACCTGCTGCATAAGGCGTCTGTTTAATACTGCTGACACACTGCAGTTTTTAACGATTCCTTATCTACCTCAGTATCATTGTGGCCTGAGTCTAACAGGTAATTTGACTCCACTAATTTAAGTTTAAAACTTTCTTTGTTACTAAGGCTTATAGTTGGGGCTGGATCAGGTGACTCTGAACCATCCCTGTAGTTATGCTGCAGTCGGCTCAGGCTGCATCCCGTGATGCTTGTATCTTTCCATTTCTGGATGCTATTAAATTTTCTATAGTCAGTATTTTGTCCCGTCTCCCTATGCTCTCCCTTTTCTCCTCCCTTACCCCTCACCCTCCTGACCGGTCGTGGCAGATGGCCCCCCCCCCCTCCCTCAACCTGGAAGTGCTGGAGTTTTTTCAATTCAATTCAATTCAATTTTATTTATATAGCGCCAAATCACAACAAAAGTCGCCTCAAGGCGCTTCATAGATACAGAGGAAAACCCAACAATCATATGACCCCCTATGAGCAGCACTTTGGCGACAGTGGGAAGGAAAAACTCCCTTTTAACAGGAAGAAACCTCCAGCAGAACCAGGCTCAGGGAGGGGCGGGGCCATCTGCTGCGACTGGTTGGGGTGAGAGAAGGAAGACAGGATAAAGACATGCTGTGGAAGAGAGACAGAGGTTAATAACAGATATGAATCAATGCAGAGAGGTCTGTTAACACATAGTGAGTGAGAAAGGTGACTGGAAAGGAAAAACTCAATGCATCATGGGAATCCCCCGGCAGCCTACGTCTATTGCAGCATAACTAAGGGAGGATTCAGGGTCACCTGGTCCAGCCCTAACTATATGCTTTAGCAAAAAGGAAAGTTTGAAGCCTAATCTTGAAAGTAGAGATAGTGTCTGTCTCCTGAATCCAAACTGGAAGCTGGTTCCACAGAAGAGGGGCCTGAAAACTGAAGGCTCTGCCTCCCATTCTACTTTTAAATACTCTAGGAACAACAAGTAGGCCTGCAGAGCGAGAGCGAAGTGCTCTAATAGGGTGATATGGTACTACAAGGTCCTGTCATAAAGGAGTTTTTCCATCCTACTGTCACCAAGTGCTTGCTCATAGGATACTGTCTAATTGTTGGGTTTTCTGTCTTGTATTGTAGTGTCTTTACCTTACAATATAAAGCAACTTTCTAAAATCTAAAATAATAACTAAACATGCCTCGAGTAAAGATTTAGGGTAAGGTTACAATAAATGTTTGGCAAAGCTATACATTTGGTGTAAGTATTAGCATTTCTTAATTCTTCTGTAGGCCTGCCATTTAAACTCTGAACTGGGCCCCGGTTATATTTTAAAGGTGGGACTTTGACCGAGAGGTCACAGGGTATTACTGTGACTAAAATTAATGTTGCACTTCATAACTCTTAGATCAGGTTAAGTACAGTCAGCGTCACTGTGTCAGTGTAATATGTGTGTTATTCTCTCTTTAATGCACAAGCACTCTGTCAGTATTTGAGTTTCCAGTTTTCACTCTGGATTAGTGAGCTGCAGGTTTATTGTATTTCAGTGTTTTCATCTGTTCCTGCCTACATCTGGGGATTTTTGCAGGTGAGAATATTGACTCTGTGGCTTACGGGGTTGAATACTCTGTAGTCGCTGCACCTTTACTCGTACAGAAAACCGGTATGGACTGTACCAACAGCTCTGGTTGGACTGGTTGGATTCACTCAGTGGCCACTGGTGGAAGACATGTGACTCTGCAGGATTAACAACATAAATGTGCGCACAATGTGCTGCTCTTGGATTTTATTATTGATCTTCATATTAAAGTATCATCTGTGGACACTAAATTAGAAAATAGCCAATGGTAAAATAAGTTAATCATTGTATGCTAATTGCTAATGTTTATATAATGCTGTTTATAGCTTCGGTTGCATTATTTTGTCAGTGTGTGTGTGTGTGTGTGTGTGTGTGTGTGTGTGTGTGTGTGTGTATTGTTGCTGACAACAAAGAGCATTTCTAAAAGTCACCTGAGTTTTGCACAGTGCACCAGTGAGAGGAGGTTTCTGTTAGCAGGAAACTGCTGCCTGCCGGTCATATGGTGAACACAGCAGTCACCCGCATGTCATTAGCAGAGCTGCACCAGTATGTGTGCTTCTTTCTATCATGCTGCTGGTGGTATGTGTATGTATGAAGTGAGTTTATGGCTTCTTTGTGTTTCTAATGGACAGGAATGTGTCAGACACGTTAGCTGTAGCTGCGTTTCCTCAGTGCTCAGTTGGACTCTTTTATTCCTCTGCAGCTGTCTAATGCTGACATGGGCTGAGCGGGTAATACTGACAGAGTGTGTTCCTGCACTTAAATGGGAATGATAGTTGCCCTCAGGGACGTTATGTTGTAAGGTAAAGAGCTAACGGTGTTTTAGAGAAAAAGCCAGTGATCCAAGAAAGAAACTCGCCTTTTTCTACATAAAAAACCTTCTGGGAGGGCAGCCATCTGTCCAGACTGGAAGGGGCCGAGGGGGGAAATCAAGACCACAGAAAGACACAAGAAACCACAATCAAGACAAAGCACAAAATACGGGAGAGAGTAGACAGTGAGGTCATTTCACGCAATAGTGGCTTCTAGCTTCGTAAAAATGGAGTACACCCTCTTTGAATTTGAAGTTTGTACGTATCAGGATATAATAAAAAAAATCTTGTTCAGACCAGGTTGTGATTTATTCATTTATCTAAGAACACCCCAACTTGTAGAAATGCTTATAGCATCATTTCCTGTCTAAATGTATTAGCCTCTCTCATGCATTCATTTTTACCCAGCTCTCCTAAACTCCCACCACAGCATTTTAATGAGGGAGAGGTCTGGACTTTGGCCCAGTGCAGCACCTTGATTTTTCCCCCCAGTTATTCTGTTGCAGATTTGCTGCTCTGCTTGGGATCTCTGTCTGTTGAATGACTCTGTTTTGACCAAGCTTTAGCTCTCAGACAGTTGACTTCACATTTGACTCTTGAATAATTTTTTATTCAAGCGTTTTTAGATTTTACTCAAGGTGCCAGGGTCCCGTGGCTGCAAAACAAGCCCCAATCCTCTCCCCTTCACCCATGTGCTGTGGGTGCTTTTTGCCAAAGGCGGTGCTGTGCGTTTTGGTGAAACATCTGCATTTTGGTCGAACCTGAGAGCATCGTTCCACAAGTTCTGTCATAATTTGTTTTTTAGACAGAAGATGCTTTTCTCCTGAAAACCCTTCGAAAGTATTACATTAAGCTAATTAACTAATACTTAATGTAAAAAAAAATAAAAAGTTGTGTATATTTCATGGCAGGGATTGACGTCATTTAGTCCAAAATCCAGTAAATGTAATAAAAAGTAATTACACAGCAAACAAGCAACAATCCAAGCAAAGTTAACGAATCAGCTTAATGTTTTTTAGAATTTCCATCAGCTTAGCTTCTCTCTGTTTAATCTGCCCGTCATTAACGAGTTTTTCACATTCTGGCTGCTGTTTTCTCCCCGAGTTTAACAAGTGAAACATACGTTTAAAGTTTCATGGCTACAGCGGGTCAAATCAAAGATGGACGACTCCAGGTCGTACACACGCCCGTCACGTGACGAATACAAGGTGACGTGATCTTTTTTAAGCCACGAAGCGCATCTGTTCTTTATCTTTAATAAAAGATTCAGAAACTGCTCCCGGAGCTTGTCCTTGTCTAAATGTATGATTATGTCTGTAATTTCAAATAGCAGAATCAGTAACAGCAAACAGCACTGTGGCGGGGCGTGGCCTGCGGTGCCGTGCAGGTGCGTCCGCCTCCTCTGCACGGCACCGCAGGCCACGCCCCGCCACAAGCGCTCCCTCCAGCCGGTTTGCTCGTCTGGCTCGCTCTGTGTTCATTTTCTGGTTTCTGTCTCGAGTGCAGAGAATTTAATAACTTATGAATATGTTACGATTCAGGACAAAATGTTTTTTAGATTGTGTTTTTATTCTTGGGGCCAGTCAAAGACACAAACACTTTTTAGGGTTGCCTTATATGACACAGGCTTGTTTTGTGTACACTTTGATCACAGCTACGTCCTTGTGTTTGGACGATGATGTATTTTCAGCATGTTTTCATCCAGATTTGCTGTTTGTTTTGTTTCTGCAGCTGCTCGCGGTCAGACCTGACGCTGGCTCTCGAGGACTGTATGGCCGCCCTGGATCTGTTCCTCAGAAACGACTTTGAGGAGGCGCAGGCGCGGCTCAGATGCAGGTAGGAGCACCACCTGCGTAACGACCTGCTACGGGTGCTGTTCTCGCCGGCCTTTGACCTTTCGAGTGTTCTCAGTAACTTTCACGGTTCAAAATAATTCTTATTTATCAGATATTGGGCCTCTGTCTGAAACAAGTTTAGTTTTAGTTCCTCTTCCCTTAAGACAACTGTCTGCTGATTGGCTCCCCCTCTCAAACAGAGGGTTTGAACAGCAGGTGGGCGGAGCTTCTGTTCAGACTGACAGCAGTCCAAAATCTGAGCTTTTGCCTCATTATTTGAAACTTTGACCATGTTTTTTCATGAGCGTCCAAGAACTTATCAAAAGATATGAAGGTCATAAATGTGAGTTAAGGGATCATTCAGAGGATTCGTTTTTTAGATCTGCGGTGATTTCACCTCACTGCTCTTCTATTTTAACCCTGCTGCAGTTCCTTGAATGTTTTTCTTGGATCTTTGGTGACTTGGAGGACTTTTAGACAGTCGTCCCCTAATGTTGCAGGTCTCTGTTAGTAGTTTGTGTCTCTCACTGTGGACGTGTCAGGACCTGGAACTTTTAGCTTTGTCACCCAGTTTTCTGAAAATGTTCTGATGATGATCACTTTTTTTTACATGCTGCCATGATTGCTGTTACGTTTTTCACGTTAAAATCTGAAGCCGTCTCTAAATGAATTAGATTGAATTAAATGTCCAATAAAAGTTTAAGAATTAAGAAGCTGTGCTTTATTTGTTTTGAGCTTTCAGAGCACTCACTGCTTTAAATTCTTCCCAGTGACAGGATCAGTACAGTTTCTCTAATTAAGAGGACACTTAGATATTGAAGATAAATTCACTATTCAGCCTTTGAAGATGGCTGCACAATTAGAAGGAGCTTTTTAATGTGTTGTGATGTTTCCATGAAGGTCCAATTATGTGGGGAAACAACAAAAAGTGTCGCGTTTGAAAAAGGAGACAAGGAGGCAAATAAAGCGAAGGTTTCTTCGAACAGTTTAACTAAAAGAGATGGACAGACCACAATCACCATCAAAAGAGAAACATATTAAAACTCTGAAGTTGATCAGATAAAAATAATAAGTTAAAAAGGCTAAATCACCCAAAGCACCACAGAGGTCCCACATTCGGCAGCCACAACATATAAAACCAGAAATGCTGCCTGAGTCTGGAGCTGTCCTCTGTGCTCTGACCCAGTTGCTGAGAAGAGTTGGCTGTACAAAAGTGCGGCACCTGAAGCTGGAGAGACAACATGACACAGCAACTGGGACAAATCACAGCAGGCTCTGTCGGGCCCATAACATGCTTGGAAAATAAAGTCTGTAAGATGATGTTTTTGAGTCCTGAATCAGTGACAGCTGGAACCATCGTACTGCAGTTAAAGTCAAGCTTCTTGTCGGTTCTTTGTTAAGTGCAGGACAAACACCGCATTGCAGTGACCCACAGTGGGCAAGTAAATTGAATCTAAAGTTAAATAAGATAAAATAGAGAATTAAAACTATAATAGATATAAGAAATAAGGTGTCAAAGTCTTAATAGACAAGATACATTAAAGCCAATAAACTGTAATTGCAGTTTCCGCTGTGTTTACATGAACAGGTTATGTGAACCGTGTGCTGCTTTAAGTTACATTAACATAACACGGCACGTAGAAACGGCACCTCCAGGTTTGTACTCCAACACAGAGTCATCGTGTTACTCTGTGTCCACTGCGTGTTATCAGCACCTTTATCGTGCCGCTGCTTTGATCCGTCCTCTGGGACTGTGGGCCACTCCTCAGCCCAGTTTCTTCTTTCCAGTGCTGCCCAGCATCAAACAATAGCTTCCTTTTAGCCCTGACTGTGTTTGTAGTTTTGAAACAGTAAACCGGTGTGTGGTGTTGTTGCTGAGAGACATGTGTGTGTGTGTGACGACATTAAGCGTGAATGAACTCACACTCTTTGTTTTTTACATTATTATTTTTTGATCCGTCTTTCCTGGTGTTTGTTATTTAAACTTGGATTTGGGAAATATTCTACCCGTGCTGACGATGTGGATAAATCTAAAACCTCACACTCCTGTTGGTGTCCTGATTTCTGCCTCACAGGTTTCTCCCTGTGCAGCCGGCTCTATTCCATTTACATGCAGAACTGCAATTAAACTGATTTTTTAATATTTTGTTTGCTTTGTACACAACCCAATAACATCCACAACCTCATTTTCTCCTCAGAAAAAGCTTTTATGAGAGGAAATGACAGCTGTTGGGCTTTCAGCATGCTGTATATCATTTTAATGCACCTGGACACATCAGCGGGGATGTTTTCTGGAGTTATCATGTGTTGTAGAGCCTGTGAATCTTTGCATCCCGCAGCTTTTGTGTTCTTCCACTTGCTCGGCCTTGAACTGCTCGTCAGACACGTTAGCATTAAGTTTCAGACTTTTAGATCTCACACCTTTTCTTGCAGGCAGGATTTGCTTTGTTTTCCTCCACCTGTCAGCTGTAGTCTGACGCGGCCATGTGGGGCAAGGACACACACATATGTGGACACAGTTTCTATTTAGTCAATCTTGTGTCTGCTACATTTACCCCTACGTTCGTGTTTATGGTCACAGGTAGTTGGAGGTCGTCCCAGGATGCATTGGGAGCAAGACCTCGTTTATACAAAGTGCATATTAATTGGAAATCTGACTGTGGAACAATATTGTGTTTGTAGAGACTTTAGTCAGTGCCTTACAGTCACGGTCACCATATCGCCAATCACCCTGAATCTTTTGGATAACTTTGGTCTTGAGCGAGACTCGTGCGTTAAAGTCCTCCGCCGCAGTTATTTATGACGGGGTCGGTTATTACGGACACATGGAATTAGTGCGCTGTTAGCAAGCATGGACCAATACTCTGTTTAAGCACTGTTTGTGCAGGTGGACAGCTCAGCACAGGAGACAGTAGATTTATGCTTCACTCATTAACTGAAAGCCGTTGTAAAACTGGAAACTTGATTTACTTTACGAGAAATACAATGGCCATTAAAGGTGATAGAAAAACCACAAACTACATGCCAAATTACTGAAAATGTGCGTCATATCAGGAGGCAGTGGAACAGTCAATGAAAGCAGTGATAAATAAACTGGTATAAAAGCAGTGGATCCAGATAAAAACATAAAACCATAAGTGGACTGACAGCTGGAGGGCGAGATGAAGCAGAAGAGGAAGAGGCTAGACACCAAGCCAAACGAACCATAGCAGCTGAGGAGTAGCAGAAACCGAACGGAGGTTCTCACAGGAAGTACATCGTGTAGCTGGTTAACTTATTGCAGGTCTGTGGAGATATTCAAGCGTCCGATTGTCCTGAAAATCTTACTGGATCACTGATTTGTTTATTCCTTTAATTTTAGATGCTGTGTTGTGGTTTAGCTGGGATTCAGGTCACAGGTCCTCATGTTTTGTAGTTTATGATTAGAAGTCAGAATCCTTGAGTCAAGCCTCATTTCTTTGCATTCGTTTCCAATGAGCCAGCCTTTCTTTTCATTTTGTGGTCTTGAGCAATAGTTCTCGGGGTATTACGAAGGACTTGGCAGCGTTTTCACTCCTTTTCAGTCCAATCCTTATACCGGGGCACCTTCAGAGAAATGTTTTCTTTTTTGTTTCAGACCTATGAATCATTCAAGTCAACCGATGAACCAGTGTTGTGTCTACACATGTCAGACAACTTAGCAAAGAACTAACTTTGAATTATATCTTCAGGCACTTTGTTGCTAGAAGCTTGTCATAAAAAATACATAATTTATTCCCATTTCTTTAGTTGAATCTATTAAAAATGCCAAAGGTAACACAGTTTGACAGGCAGGAAATAATATTTTTGGAACAAAAGGGGGATTACCAAATGGCTATTAGCTAAAATTTGAGGAAAGTGGACAAGTGGAGGATGATAAAAGAAGTGGCATAAAGGCATAAACACTATGTACTGCAGATGAAAAAGGACATGACTTTCAGATCCATCTGGCCCTTCAGCATCAATACAAATGTTCTCAGTGGACTGATGGCCTTCAAGAAGCCAACCTTGAGGAAGGAAACAAGGAGAAAATCTTTTTTTAAAAACTGGAGTGAAAATTAATGGCAACAGGTCATACAGATCGATGAATCAAAGTGTGAAGTTTTTGGTTTGGTTCAATATGTACAGAGGAGATCAGGAGAGAGGGACAGTACTGAGTGTCTACACCTACCTGTAAAACTTGGTGGAGGCTCTTTCATGGTTTGGGGCAACATTTCAGCCACTCATGTTGGGTATCTCACCACTGAGAGAATCACCAACACAGAAAACTGCCATGGGATTTTGAGCCACCATCTAGAAAGCATCTGATTGACAACTGCTTCATTGTTCAGCATGACAGGGATCCCAAACACTCTACAAGTGCAGAAGGAGCATACCTGGATAGGAAAACACAGTCATGGATTGGCCTCCCCAGTAGGGTTGGGCGATATGCAAAAATTTTCCAACCGGCAATAGTCAGTCCAATAATCGACAATGGGTGATATTTTCACGCATGCGCAGGCTTTTTGATGGGCGGAGCAATGTAATCATGCACGGACTGATTAGCACGTTTACAATACAGAAGAAGTCCAAGCATGGACGAACTAATTTCCCCCCAAAATTAGGGCTGTCAGCGTTAACGCGGCGTTAACGCGGTCGTCACGATTAACGCGATTTTTGATGCCCTCCTGGAGCACAGAATGAACAAACTTCGGACAAACTACCCGAAATGCGTTGACACACACATTTCAGGGATTTTGACTCCGTCTGCGCTCCAGATGGGTTTATTATTAATCGCATTAGTCGTGATGACGGCGCGTTAACGCTGACAGCACTAAAAAAATATAAAGTCCCCAATTTTGGATTTCTTTGGCTTTAAACCAGATGAAACAGGTAAACCTGATGTAAACACTTGTGCAGACGTGTAGTGCGAGCAAAGTACTTAAACACCACTGACTTGCATGAGCATGCACGTGTCCACCATCCGGCTGAGTATGCTAGGCTATCACCAGCTTCTGCAGCTGCATCAACAAGCATTTGGGTGATCTCTGAGGAGGGGGCATTTGCTTGCAGATGAAAGAGGGTGCTGTTAAAACAGCGCTATTATTATTATTTTTTTAATGTTGGCTGCTTCTATTAGCTCCATCATTATTAGCAAACGTACTCATGGGCAAATAAATAAATAAATCGCCCTTGACCATCGACAATGGGCTCAGCCTATCGTCGATATATTCGTCCGGTCGCCCAACCACACTCCTCAGAGCCCGGACTTCAACATCACTGAAGCAGTCTGGGATCATCTTGACAGAGAACAACACAAAAACAGCCAACATTCAAAGAAGAGCTGAAGAACTATTCCCGAATATTACTTTCAGAAATTACAGCTACCTAAGAGAGTTCAGCATGTGGTGAAGGATGTAGGTCATACCAAATATTGACTTTCAAACTCATTAGAATTGCTCAAGCTCTGTTTTTGTCCTATATACTGTATTTCCATATATGGAAATGAATAGCTCAGGTGGCCTGTGGTGTGTCCTTGAAAAGAACAGAAATATTTTTCTATTTTCCTTGCAAAATATAGAAACGTGAGTAATGGCTCCACACGGTAACCAGTCAAGTGTTTTTTCATTTTGAGAGGCAGATGTTTGCATGGATGGTGTTCGATACACCTGCGCTGTTGTTTCTCTGTAGCCTGTACTGTTGTCTTCTTTGGGTTAAATTATCAGGGTTAATTCAGACAAGGAGTTATTTTAGGAATCAGCTACAAGCTTCTGTGACAAATTTCCACAGAAATCACTGAAAATGTTTGGATTTCATCAGAACTACCATTGCTGCTTCCATCGTCTTCAACTGAATGCAAAGTGTGTGTCGGTGCACACGTGTTTGTGCGAATCTCAAAGCAGCTCCTCCCTTTCATTATGGAACTACGTGGTGAAAATATGTTGGAGACCCAGCTTTACTGCTATCAGAGGTGCTACGACCTTTTCATCACTGAGATCTGACAGATATTTTGCTGCCATGTGACTAAATTTAAATCACACTCCATCTTAAAAGGTTTCCCAGCCTGAGTTTCACTTGCTGTCTCACATAAACGAGCCTGACGCCATGGAAATGTAACCCAGGCAAATCTCCCTGCTTCTCAGTCTGCGCCTTCTCTGTTTCCAGGTTGCTACTGAGCTTGTTTGGTGTTTGTTTACTGAGTTAAAGCTGATTGGATTCATTTAACCCTTGTGTGGTGTTCATATTTTTGTTACTCAGCCAGTGTTCATGGGTCTGGTGGACCCGCTAGAGTTTTGGCTTTCCAAATTAACACTATCAAACAATTTTATGTTAAATTACTCAACAGATGTTTACTTCATCCCAATTACAAGACATATGAACAGCAAACATGGTTAATTTTTTCCCTTTACCTTTGTTAGATCACATTTATGAATTAATGTGCTTCTCGTTTTTCTTTTATATAAAATGTTATAAATAAATCAGTTATAATCAAGTGGAGTGAGTGGAAAGACACAACACATTTACACGTGAAAAAATAATTAATTGTTTAATTTTTCTTTTGAAAAAAACTGAACACGGGTCTCACAGACCCGAACACCATACAAGGGTTAAGCAAACAGTTGAAGGTTTGTAGTTAGTTAATTTACAAACGTCTCTACTTAATTCTGCAGTTTTCTTTCATGACAGGCAAAAAGTCACATGGATGATGTCACATTTATCTCCGTTTGCCTTTTATTTCCAGTTTGTGTGCACATATATAGATATAGCTGTATTAGGAAACATGAAGTAGAGCATGATTAATGTTTGCTGGCCTAGTTTTCATGGGGTGAAAAATCTGTTTATTGTGAGCTGGTCTGAGGTCAGAGTAACATCCCAGAGGCTGGTCACATGAGTTAATCTGGCGATGAAGAGCAGTGAAATGTTGGCCATGCGGACTGACAGCATTCCTGCCTGCACACCTCTGACTTAATGTCACTTAATATATGATCCAACAAACAGACATGCTTGAAAATGTGTTAATCCCAGGATACATACGGCTGTTTAAACCGTCCGCTATAACTTCAGTGGGACTCCTTATTAATAGCACAAACATATGTTGTATATCTTTAACTTGTTTTGATTAATTAGTAGCTGCTTAACTGTTTAGATCAGGACCAGGAAGCTTTATTAACAAGTTGAACAAGTATTTCGGTATTTATGTGGGGAAAGTGCACGTGGTACACGCTCCAAGTACTTCGGTGTCCTTGTCACCGTGAAAGCCAACAGACACTGTTCAGTATCTCCCGTCTCTTGTCAGCAGGTATTCGTCATTTAGTGGCCACACTGTTGTTCTGTCAGATGACTGCTTATTAATATTTTATGTCTTCAATCATTTAAAAAAAGTTTTTGCAGAATGAGAAATATTTTTGATTTAATCTTTATGTAACCAGGATGTCGAGTTTTATTATTCTAAATCTAAAGCAACTAAATGTTAATGTGTTGTTCTGTAAAAGATTGTAAAACAATGCAATATTTAATATTTTTCGTCCTGTGCATCACAACAGAAATTTTCTGTTTGCTTGTTTTACAGAAACAAAGACAGCATGTACCACGCTCTGACCTACGCCACCATTCTAGAAATGCAGGCCATGATGACCTTCGATCCTCAACACATCCTAGTTGCAGGGAACACCATGAAGGAGGCACAGGCTATCTGCCAGAGGTGAGACTTTGTCAGTTAGCTGATAAAATAATAACCAGCTGACTAACAATGACAGGGTCTCTTTTTTTGTTAGTTCCTCTTTAGCCAAGTCAGCTGCGGAAGTTTATTTTGTCTCAACCCAAAATTGAACAGCTTAATGAGCTCTAGTTTCGGTAGTAACATCCTGAGACTCTTCCAGCTCAGTAAAAACAATATTACTGAAGCCTCTGTGAGAATCCATCGCAGAGGCTTTTCTTAGGGCACCACATATGATTAGTCATCTTATAAACACACGTTTATTTCGGCCAATCTGACGTCAGAGCTGCAGTTTCTCTGTGTAAACACTCTGACTGCTCATAGGAAACTTACCGCACACTCAGCCCTTTTTCTTTTAGCAACCTCATCGTGCAGCGTCTCAGCATCCTGTGTTTAGATGAATAAGGCTGAGTCACGTATCTGAAAGGAAACATGATAGGAGGGGAAATGCAGGGCATTGCGACATAAGGTAGGATTGTGTGTGTGTGTGTGTGTGTTTTAAACTGATTAGAAAATTGGGTGATGTCGTTTTGTGTTTCTCCATCAGGCAACGCAAGAAGTCTTCCTTTTCAAAAAACTTCACAGAAGGTCGGTACAGTCATGCATACAAATGAGTCTGTGTGTTATTCCTAAAAACAAACCAAGGAAACAGATGTTAGTCTGAGAATATGCTCGAGTTTTCCCTAAAAAGAGGAACCTGCTTGTATTTCTTTTAGTCCAGTTTAATAGTTGAGGTTTTAATAACTTTAGCATAAATTATCTAACCTCTGAAGTGGCTGCAAATTTTACCAGGGTTTTAGACGAATGCCCCCCTGTGATTTTACCTGCACCCTGCGATTTGATTTTTAATCATTTCAACAGCAAACTGAAGAAAAGCCTTGACTCCGTTGCTCCACTCACCACCAAAAAGATTAACGTAAAACATGCATCACCCTGGAGAAACGAAGAAGTCAAAACACTCAAAAGAAACTGCAGGGCAGCAGAAAGGAGATGGAGGAAAAATAAAAATGCTATCAACCATCAAATATTTTCCGAGCAACTTAAAATGTACAATAATACATTAAGGAACTCAAGAAATTCATACTTCACCAAAATAATCAGTATTAACAAAAATAATCCCAAGGTCCTCTTTTCCACCATAGATCATTTATTTAACCCTGATTTTAACAGCTCCCAAAGAACCCCCACAGACTCGCTCTGTGAGCAGTTTGCAGACCACTTCAGGGGAAACGTCAGCGCCATCAGATCTGATATTTTATCTAATCGCCATATGTTTGTAAACACATCTGAGGGCTCGATTGTACCTGAGGAGACACTGGACAGCTTTGTCCTGGTTAATGCTGAGAACCTTCAGAAGGTTTTCTCCACAGTGACACCCACCACATGTCTTTTAGATCCAATCCCCTCTTTACTTTTTAAAACACTTTATGGATTTTTTGAGGCTGAGCTTTTATGCATGATGAATTGCTCTCTTCAGTTGGGTGTCTTCCCTGCTGCCTTTAAAACGGCGGTGGTGAGGCCCCTTCTGAAGAAGAGCAATTTGGATTGTAATGATTTTAATAACTACAGACCTGTATCCAACTTACCATTTTTAAGTAAAGTCTTAGAAAAACTTGTTTTTACTCAGATTACTGATTTTCTCAATGATAGACAGATCCTGGAGATATTCCAGTCTGGATTTAGGGTGAAGCACAGCACAGAGACGGCTCTCCTAAAGGTTTTAAATGATCTTAGATGTAACTGGGATGCCCAAAAGCTCTCAGTCCTGGTGCTACTGGATCTAAGCGCAGCCTTTGATACAGTAGACCACGCTATTCTTTTAAACAGACTGAAACACATGGTGGGCCTCTCTGGTGCTGTACACAGCTGGTTCACTTCCTGTCTCTCTGACAGATCTTTTATGGTGAGTATGGACACATGCTCCTCTAAGATCCATAAAATGACATGTGGTGTGCCTCAAGGGTCAGTTCTAGGCCCTGTACTTTTTAATTTGTATATGCTCCCTCTCGGCGGTGTCATCAGGAGGCATGGAGTGAACTTCCACAGTTACGCTGATGATACTCAGCTGTACATCTCTGTGTCTCCTGATGACACCAGACCAATGGATGCCCTTTTTAACTGTATCTTAGATATACGATCTTGGATGGCAGAAAACTTTTTACAACTTAACCAGGACAAAACTGAAGTTTTAATTGTCGGTCCCGAGGCTCAGAGAGAGAAACTCTTGTCTAAATTAGAGGCATTTTCACTATGTCCTTCACTACAAGTGAAAAACCTGGGTGTTATTTTTGACTCTGAGCTTGGTTTTATCCCACATATTAAACATGTAACCAAAATTGGATTTTATCATCTAAAAAATATAGCCAGAGTCCGCCCTATTCTCTCTCGGGCCAGCACGGAGATGCTGATGCATGCTTTTATTACCAGTCGCATTGATTACTGTAATGCCCTGCTCTCTGGTCTTCCTAAGAAGAATATTTCAACTTTACAACTTTTGCAAAACTCTGCAGCTCGTGTGCTGACGAAGACCAGAGGGCGGGCCCACATTACACCGGTTTTAGAATCGCTGCACTGGCTCCCCGTGTGTTTCAGGATCGATTTTAAAGTTCTTTTATTGGTTTTTAAATGTCTTAATGGTCTTGGGCCTTCTTATCTCTCAGATCTGCTTTTACCATACGAACCCTCGCGGACCCTGAGGTCCTCTGGTACTGGCCTTTTGATTGTCCCTAAAGTCAGGACACATACTCACGGAGAGGCAGCTTGTCAGTGGTATGGTCCTCGTCTGTGGAACAGCCTGCCGGAGGAGCTCAGGGCCGCAGAGAACATACATGTTTTTAAGAACAGGCTCAAGACCCACCTTTTTAATTTAGCTTTTATTTAACGTTTATTTATTTTATGCTTATTTATTCTATCCTGTTATTCTATTATTAATTTAGGCTTTACCTAATATTTATTGATTTTATTCTTATTCATTTTTTAATCTTCTTACTCTATTTATATTTATATTTATATTTATATTGTATCCTGTTCTTATTTATTTTATCATTTTACCCTGTATATAGCCTATTGTGTCATATCTCCAGTGTTTCCTCGGAGGGCGCTCTCTGCACCGGGGCTGTGATCGACCGTGGCTGCTGGGGCTCTGGGGGTCCTCTCAGCCTGGCTGGGGGGCTCCTTTGCCTCCCTCCTGCTGTGTGCCCGGCCTGGAGGCTGCGGTCTGTGATCGGCTCCCGGTGCAGACGGCTCCCTGTTATAGTGTTTCCTCACTTGGCTCATGCGAACCCAGCCCAATTTTACTCTTTAAGTGTGCGTGTGTGTGTGTGTGTGGGGGTGTGGGGTGGGGGGGTGTGGGGGGGGGGGGGGGGGGGAATATGTGTGTATTCACATCATTTATGTCAATGAGAGTGTGGGGAGTGAGTTGGAGGGTGGGGTGGGCTGCTTTTAACTATGTAAAGCACTTTGTGCTACATTTTTTGTATGAAAAGTGCTTTATAAATAAAGACTGATTGATTGATTGAAGTTATTAGATGATCATTAAATTATTCTAAATAATTAAAATGTTTAGACTTTGTAAGTGTTTAAATGTTTGCTCCATGTTAAAGTAGTACCTCTGCATGTGTATGTGTGTGTTTGGTCATTATGCTGGAGCCCGTGTTTGATTGACAATAACTGGTACAATCGATTTCACTTCAGAGGAGCTCCATGCTGAAGTTTGTTACGCCGAGTGTCTCCTCCAGAGGGCAGCGCTCACCTTCCTTCAGGTCAGGAGGCTTACAGCAGCCAGTGCTACTGATGTGTTTGCCACCATCACTCATTTTCTGTTTTGTGTTTTTAAACTCATTCGTGCTCAGGATGAAAACATGATCAGTTTTATCAAAGGAGGAATCAAAGTGAGGAACAGCTACCAGACTTACAAGTGAGTATCTCCAGGATATCCATGTTTCCATCCCTGTTTCCTGGAAGACCTTTTATTCTTCCATCAGGACTTCATCGCAGCTTATTCCCCTTAATTTGCTTATATCTTAACCCCCTCAGAGAGCTTCACACAGTCCTGCAGTCCTCCGGATACACTCATGGTGACAACCATGGGCATTTTGAGGGTGGCGTGAAACTGGGAGTGGGAGCTTTTAATCTAGTAAGTAATAGTTTGCACTTGTGCCTCATTGATTGACTTAATTTTGTGATGCTTGGTTAACAAAAAAGGCACCAGAAGAGCAGAAGATCTGCATAAATTAAGAGCTGTTCTAGCCTAACATGGCGATAGCTGCAAGAAATCCAACATAGTTTGTTCAGCATCTGTAATAACAATGAAATGCTCTGTAATTATGTTTCTGACCTTTTCATTTCCACTGCTTGTTTGCTTCCTGCAGATGATTTCCATGTTGCCTACTCGGACACTCAAGCTGCTGGAGTTTGTCGGTTTCTCTGGTAATAAGGTAAGCGTTTCTGAGAAGTCAGACTTCTGACATGGCGCTCTCTAACAGCTTTGGCTGGAGATATTTTGCGAGCCGATACACCCTTCCGCTCTGTTTGAAATGCCTCTTTATGAATCAGAGAAAGAGAAGTGTTTCGAGAACTGTAAGTGCATCTGTGGTAGAACTCATCACACTACTACTAAGATGAGTTTGTCGTGTTATTTTTCATGGAAACGTGAAATGAAACTTGCAACCATCAATGAAATGATGGTTGCTTTGATAATAATGAGCAATGACTATTTCTCTAAATTGTGGTTACCAGTTGTAACTACTGATTTCATTCATCAAGCCATCACATCAGCACCTCAGTTGACCTTTGAATATTACCATCATGACTGATTTATCTTCCGGTTATGAACATGCAAATACTGCATTTCTTGTATTTTGTACTTGCGTGTTTTGCACACAGGCCAGTTTGTGAGTCAGAGAAGTGGTAGACAAGCAGACGCTGTTTTATCCCCAGAACACGCTGACTAAACACAGAAGATTTTCCCATAACTACTTTAGTGTATTCTCTGTGTGCTGGTTTTACTGCTAATTGGCTGATAGATCTTCCACAAATGAAGACTTAATGTAGACTCAGAAAATGTGTGCAACTGTGTGTGTTTATATAGGAGTTTGGTCTCCAGCAGCTTCAAGAGGGCTCAGTAGAAAGTACATTCAGGTCCTTCCTGTGCAACATGCTTCTCCTCTGTTATCACACGTTCATGAGCTTCATACTAGGTGAGCAACACACCCACACACGCACATCTGCAAATTAACACTAAAAGATGCAATCTGAGCTGGGTTCCTTCTGTCTCGCAAAGGCACTGGAGAAGGAGACGTTGAGGATGCAGAAAAACTGCTGGAGCCATATCTTAAAAAATACCCCAAGGTATGTCAGGATGAATGACTGTGTGTGCTTTTCAAATGTTGCTATGATTGTTTGTGTCATTCGCACAAACATACTGTGTTTGTCTTCATCCAGGGATCCATCTTTTTGTTCTTTGCTGGTCGGATAGAAGAGATCAAAGGCAACCTGGATGCTGTGAGTAATTTATTTTCCCTTGGAGAAAGTGTGTGTGTGTGTGTGTGTGTGTGTGTGTGTGTGTGTGTGTGTGTGTGTGTGTGTGTGTGTGTGTGTGTGTGTGTGTGTGTGTGTGTGTGTGTGTATTTTTAATGCATATCAGTAATGTATTTAAATCTTGTATTTTGTAGTTCTGTTTATGTCAGTATATTTGTGTTTTTTGCACCATGTGAGAGAGTACTGCCTTCATCTTTTAATCCTTACATAATGACAATAAAGTCTTGAATCCTGAATGTTGAAAATGTGAAGTACCAGAATGAAAAGCTCTTTCAAATACTTAACAAATCACCTCATGTGGAATAAAGGTCATAACTATTTTTTTCTGTATTTTGCTCATTTTTCTAAACATTGATTGCCAGTTTTGTGTCCTTAACTAAAATACTGATAAAGTCAAATCATCTCTTCTGCAAACATATCATATCGGTATCATAATTTAGTGGCATATGTTTGACAAACAGCGATTCTCAACCTTTACGTGCCTTTCTTCCAGGCTATCAAGCGTTTTGAGGAGTGCTGCGAGGCTCAGCAGCAGTGGAAGCAGTTCCATCACATGTGCTACTGGGAGCTGATGTGGTGCTTCACATACAAAAGGCACTGGAAGATGGCCTACTTCTACGCTGACCTGCTCAGCAAGGAGAACTCATGGTCCAAGGTGGGCCACCATAATGTGGGATGTGAATCTGAGCGGGCAAAGTAATAAAAGAAATGTAAAAGTTAGTGAAGTCAAGATAAAAAATAAATAAACAACAACCGTGGTGCAAAAAACAAAAATCATTGTAAATAAAACAAACATGATATGCTTAAAAACAACATTACCAGGATAGAATGCGGATCAGACTGGTTCTTAGTCAAATGAAATACAGTTAAATACTTTCTTTTCTTTCGGCTGCTGCCTGTAGGGGTCGCTATAGAGAATCGCCTGCCTCCATCTCTCCCTATCTCCAGCTTCCTCCTCTGTGGTCTTCTTCTTTTCCTCCTGCCTGGCAGCTCCATATTTGCCCAGATTATCCGCTGTTCCTCCTCTGCACATTCCCTCTTTAACTATTCAGTCTGAGCTCTCCCTCTGATGTAGATATGATTAAATACAGTAAATAATACATTAAATCTTAAGTACAATTTCAAGAAAATAAATATTAAGATTTTTCATAAAGTTTTTACTAAAAAAGGAATATTTAATGTGAGAGGGGAGCTATCCCAGAGCTTTGAAGGTGCTCCTCTATACACTCCATTTTAACATAACAAAACATTTACATTTTTTCCGAGGCTTTAGCTGTAGTGCTACACTTTTTGATTTCATATACCTTTGGTTCCCATTTATTTTTCAGTCTTGGCACAGATTTTACTTTTTGACTCAACCCTCCCATATACTCACATCTGGCAAAGGCACTAGGAGTTCAGTTTTATTACCCGATGAGGTTGAGTTTGTGTCTCCTCTTCTAAATAAACTCTTTACAAATTCCATTTCAAAAGTTCAGGAGAGCAGAGATGATTAAGGGCCACAGGAGACTTTGGCTGTTGAGCGACTGCAAAGAGTCAATAAAGCCATCTATCCATTTTCTTAACTACTTATCCAGTTCAGGGTCACGTGGGGGGCTGGAGCGTATCTCAGCTGTCACTGGATGAGAGGTGGGATATACCCTAGACAAGCTGCAGGTCCATCATCAGACCGACCATCCATCCATTTTCTTCGGCTTATCCAGTTCAGGGTCGTATGGGGGCTTCAACCTATCCCAGCCGTCATTGGCTGAGAGATGGGATATACCACGGACAGCCTGCAAATGCATCACAGGGGCTGTTCAAACTAAACTGTGCAGTTATTTTAGCAGAAACAGACATGAACTGTTCTCAGGTCACAAGAACCAAAATCCTTCCAACATATAAAAGCACCACAAATGTGGATGTCCAACTTTTGATTTTTGTCTTTTTTCCCCTCCTTATCTCATTTTCAAAGGAAGGATGAGATTTAATTAGTAACCACGTTTTTCCTTCCCTCAGGCTACCTATGCATATATGAAAGCAGCCTACCTCAGTATGCTGACTAAGGATGATTGCCTAACCTTTGGGGAGACAGCACTTAGTCTGTTCAGGTAGGAATTAAGACGCTGCTGAAATTACTCAGCAAAGCAGAGATGACTCACTGTGAAAGTATCAATAATGTCATAATCGTATCTTCCCCAAAGAGCCTGTCCTTGGTAAATAATATGAGCTAATATTTAAGAATACTCTATAAGGTGTATCAGAGGAGTAATATGACAGAAATTAAACTGGTGTTTTTGGCATTAAACTCTTTTTGTGTCACAGATATTCTAATTTTTTGTGGTAACCATTAACGGTGCTCCATGATAAAACATTTGATTAGACTGTTGGGCTTTTAAAACTGTCTGGAGGATATGTAATTACTAAATGCATCTCATATTTCAGGCAGGTCCCAGGGCTCAAGCAGAAAATAGCAGGAAAGTCTTTGCCAACGGAGAAGTTTGCTATCAGGAAAGCCCGCCGCTACCTGGCAGAAAATCCCGTACCTCTTCCTGCTCCTCCGCTGGTGAGCACTGGATGACGCCATCTTGCATGTTGCCCAGTAAACATAAATTAAATTAAAGTAAAGCCAAAGACTTTACTTGACATTTGCCTCCTATTTACCCTGCGGTGCAGCCCTGTAAAACGTGAATGTACTGGTTCAGCCAATCAGAATGGACAGTTTATATGTGTGACTCATAGCTCAGACAGCTGTGCTATTCTACCCACAGACTTTATATAATAGGTGAACTTGTGAACTATAATTTTGAAACCTCAACTTTGTAATTTTGGTTGGTTTCATATTTGCTTGACCTGACTGAGACTGCACATTCATACAAGTAGTGACGTATGAATCAGAAGTTAGTCGCTCCCTAAATCAACCTGCTGTGTCATCTATTCTACCCTAAATAGGATCATAATTTACTAAATAAACATTACGCCGTGTCAAATAAGCACTGAAACTAGTGACTGACCATAGCAGCATTAGCAAAGAGGTAATCGAGGGTTGTTATTTCACCAGTGGGGCACATTGCACAGTTAAGATAGCATGGATCTGTTTTGAATGGCTGAACCTGTCAAATGCCACAGCAGTTTGCACATCTGTGCCCATAGTGCTAAAGGTGATTATCCCGAGTGTCACTGCAGAGAAAATGCTTTTTTTTGTTGACCTGTAGTAAAAGATTATTATTGATTGTTGCCCGTGCATGATTTGTGCATGTGTTTGTCTGTCTTCTAGGAGATGATGTACATCTGGAACGGTTATACAGTCATTGGCAAACACAAAGACTTAACTGAAGGCATGCTGAAAACACTGGATGAGGCACAGGCTCAACTTGAAAGTCTACCAAGTATGTAAATCCATTAAGCACATTTACAAAGACAATTCTGATTGAAATAAATGCTATATTACAGAAATTAATCCAAACATATTAGAGACGGGTGTTGATGTAGATATAATTGAGATTGTTTGTTCAGAATGACCCAGTCTGTCTTCTGTTTGGTGCCGACTTTTAGGAACGGAGTTCTCCATAGATGATCAGTGTTTGCTGAGCCTCCTGAAGGGACTGTGTCTCAAACACTTGGGTCACCACGAGGAGGCAGAGCACTACTTTACCCTCGTCCTCTGCAAGTAAGAGCCTTTCCTCAAAGTGCTTCAGTTACAGAGTCGTCTGATTCAGTCTTTCAGTTGTGTTCTGGTGAAAACAGGTTGACATTTGATTTTTGTTCTCGTCTTCAGTGAAACTCAGATCAAGTATGACCACTACCTGGTCCCCAATGCCCTGCTGGAACACGGCCTGCTGTGTCTGCAGCAAGGCAGAAAAGATGACGCTATCAAACTGCTAGAAACAGCAAAGTAAGTCTTTGAACCAGCAAAGCATATTTAAGTCATCTGTACTTAATAGAATATGTATGAATCAGATACTCTCCCACATTCTTGTTGTAGTGTAATCAAGTGTTAACAGTACATTATGCAGTCATGTGAAAAAGAACGCTTTTCACAGTATACTCCATGATTCATTAGCTGGTAGCACCAATAACTGAATTGAATGGCAGCGTAACTAAGGGAAGGTTCAGGGTCACCCGATTCAGTCCTAAAAATAAGCTTTATCAAAAAGGAACGTTTTAAGCGTGGTCTCAAAGTAAAGAAGGTGTCTGTTCCCCAAATCCAAACTGGAGCTGATTTCACAGAAGACGCCTGAAAGCTGAACGCTTTCCTGTTTATTTGTTTAATATGGATGTTGAAGGACGTAGGCTGGTCAAAAACGACTCCAACATTCATCGCAGTGTTACGGGAGGACCAGGTGATGCCATCCAGAGTTTAAACACCATATTTCTGAGATTTGTGCAAAAAACGTTTTATCTGAATTTGAAAGCGGGCAATTAGAGGTCACCCAAACCTTTATGTTTTTAAGGCATGCCTGCACTTTAACTAACTGTTGTGTGTCATCTGGCTTCATGGATAGGTAACGCTGGGTATTATCTGCATAGCAATGAAAATGTGTAATGCCTTCTAATAATAAGGACTAAGGGAAGCATGTATAATGTAAATGGAATTAATACTGATCCCAGCACAGAAGCCTGTGGAGCCTCCATAATTACCTTTATTGTGAAGATGACTCCCCATTGCAAAACGAGCTTAAATCATCACCCCTGGCCTCCACCACCGTGCTTGACAGTTAATATGGGGTGTGCTGATATGCTGTGTATGGTCTTGTTTTGTCCAAAGGATATCCTTGTAATTTATTCAGACCACAAACCTAAATCGTGCTGCTACGCTCTACCTCCTGGCAATTCTTCCAAACAAACCATACTTCTTCAATCTTTAATTGTACTGTGATGAACTTTGTCACAAACATGCTGAGACTCTCTCAGCATTGCATTGTCTGACTTTGGGGTGCTTTTCCTGGGCTTTTCCATGAGACACTTGAATGCTCCAGGTCACACTTGCTGATGATCAATTAATCTGTTTGATTAGGAACATGTAGTAATCTATATGACTACGTAGAGTCCAGCCAAAATGTTCATTTTTACATGACTGTACACATGAAACCTTTCATTAAGAATTTCCACTTTTGATGTTTTGAAATACGTCTTCCATTCATCTTCATGGTTTCACTCAGATTTGAGTGTTTTAGAATACGAGATAAAGTTTACTCGACTTTGCTATAAACTTTGGATTTCTGGGGTTCAGGTTGAACTTTCTTGATCTTCTTTTTTTTCTGTTTCAGGCAAAATTACAAAAACTACTCGATGGAATCACGGACACACTTTCGTATACAGGCTGCTTTGCACAAGGCCAAAGGCAGCGGGGAGAACGGTATCCATGTGCCCTCCAGCCCATAACAAACAGAGGACGGCACACTAAGGAAAGACAGCATTTGTCTCCTACAGTCTCATCATGCCAACACACAGACCAGGACAGACCTGATTATTAGGGAATAATTTGTTAGTTTTCATCAAGAGGCTAGGGGAAGAGGCTTTTCCTCATGTGTGCCAAGCAACTGCAGCTCTGACTGGCTTCGGTGGATTTGCCCTCTTCCAGAGATATATCCTCATGAACTTTACTTCCTTCTGATTTAAAATGGAGACTAATTATGAAATGTGCCTATATTTATGAAACATTGCTTCTAGCGGGGTCGTCTGTCTAGCACTGTGGCCACCTGTAAGTGGTGCACTGGAGTACAAAACACAATCAGATTTATTTGGTGTATATTCTAAGTTGCCTCTGCTAATACCCCGAGGGTAGAACATTCCCAGTGCAGGGTACTGAGTCTGCGATTTGATGGAGCCAGAGTACCAAACAACCTTTACAGAAATGACTGACACTAGCTTCTCCAAGTCATTTGATCTGGCTGCTGCAGAGTTTCCCATTTTTTGTGTAGAATATAAATGAGCGATTATTTAAAAATAAAAATGACACACAGTGATGTTTTGTTAAGTCCCTGAGAACTAGGAGATTCCTTGTAATTGGTTACTGATCAGCAATATAATCAAAAATGATATGTTGTTTAAATTTTTACACTAAACTTTGGTTTATTCTGTTTGTCAGAGAGAGAGTGTTTTATTGCGCATTTTCCTTTTTCCCCTTTTTCTGAAACATATTACATCAGTGGTAGACACACATGTATTTTGTGAGATAGCTCTCTCCGAGTTTCCCTTTGAAGAGATGATCAAATCTAAAATCTTGTTTTATTTATAGTTGCATTTTATGGCTTTTTGCACAGAGCTTTGGAAGTCAGCCAGATATGCAACCTCTCCAGAGTAAAAGAAAAAGAATGCCTCTAAGACTTCCTCTAAGACATTTATATACTGTAAATGGCACCTTTTACACAAATTGTCCCGTTTTAAGAGGACAGATGAATGTGTCTTTTAGAAAGGCAGACTCCCTTCTTTTCCCCTCCTGGTGTGTGGGACGGCCTCCAGCAGTACTTGAGCTCGAACAAATGGGCCTTTCACGGCGAGCGGCAAAGTGCTGCGTGCTTGTCCGCCTGCTGCATCTTTAGTAGGTGAAGGAGCTCAGAAGCATCGCAACCACCACAGTCTTCCTGCTTCAGGATCATCTTCTGCTGCTCTTGTATATTACATGCTTGCCCAGAAACATCTATTGAAGCACTTGGATGTTGTAATCACTTCCTGTATATAGTAATCTGGTTATGGATAAATAGGGGTCACCTCTAACATGGTTGGTGGTTAGGTTATTGGAAAGGTTGCGTACTTGCAATAGTGAGTAATAAACCTGAACTCACATGTTGTCTCAAGTGTTGGAATTAGAGCAGTAGAGCACTGTTGTTTTATTCATGATTAGAGTTCGATTTAGGATTTAAGATGGCTTGAAGTTCTTTTTTTCTAATGGTGAAGGAAATGCATTCTTATTGTTCTAACAGCAGCTGCTCTCCAGAAATTTCCCAAAACCACTCATGTTATACTTTCAAATAACATTATTTTCATTTTTTGCTCTTTGGGTTTGCAACTGCAGTCAAATTCTAACTAATGTAGTGGCATTATCTGCATATTTTACTGGGCATGGCTACCAAAATTACGGAATGACATTCCTGTACATACTGAATGTTTCCGTTGTAATTTAACATGATGAAAAGCAACTACAAATCCAATTTTGTGTTGTCTGGTTTTTCCTTTTAGCCATTTAAGCATAACAAAACAGAGTTTACAGAGTGAAGTGGTGTTAGGTACAGAACAAAGAACTTGACTGTACATCTGTTGTCCTTATATAATCTAATCTGTTAGATAAAGTCATCTTATTTTGTTGAAGTGTGAGACTCTGGCAGTCAGGGATACGAAAACAAGGACTATTATAACACGTCATAATCTATCGAAAACACACAAAGAGAATTAAAAAAAAAATTATTCTAAATATTTAAATATCCAGCCGCAAGAAAAACTAAAAAGTGGGTGATCAAGTACTACTTTGTGGTCAGCAAGAGGAATAACACAAATACACTTACAAAGCTATCACAAAGGCTGTGTTTATGTTTTTAGCGAAGGGCAATTTGATCACGAATCTGATTGGCTGCTTAAAAGAGCCTACTCAAAGAAGGTAACAGCTCATTGGTTCTTTTTCAGCGGGGCGGTGCTTTGTGTTGCTACATCACCAGCTTTCGTTGTTCGGCTGCTGTCTGCAAACTGGAAAGTCCCCTTCAGACATAGAGGTCCGCGTCAGGAAAATTGCTGTTAGCGTTGTGATTTGCGTTGAGGGGTATTGAATTTTCCTTCCCTTCGATGCGTCAATAAACACAATTCTAGCTCGCTGTTTCAGCTCCGAATTTATTTATTTTTAGCTAAGCGATTAGATGTTCCCTTTCGAATGCTAGCTGGTGTTAGCAGGCTAGCTCTTTGTGTGGCTAGCAGCTAGCCGAGCGATGTTTTGTTGTTGTTAAACTGGGCAGCCCTCCTGTCGTCTGGGAAGGAGAATCATCAGCTGTGTATGGAAAAAACGCCCCATCGACGCCTTTTTCTCCTCTCCCATTGTCTGTGAAAGTGACCCTTGAAATTAGTAAAGCGAAGACGACAGAGGGGAGAGTTTGATTGAAGAGGGAGGAGATGGGAAACTGTCTGAAATCTCCCACATCGGATGACATTTCTTTGCTACATGAATCTCAGTCGGACCGGGCCAGCTACGGAGATGGTGCTGATCCCGATCAGGAGCCACCGCCCCCCTATCAGGTAACTTTCACCAACAGTTTCAGGGAAAATGAGCTCGTAGATATGTTTTGCCATGAGCAAAATTCATGAAATACCTGAAGCGTGGACAATGTCTGATAATGTGTGACGGGCTCGGCCCAAAAACGTCTGCCTTTATGCAGCTGAAGGCAAGATCAGCTGTTTACAGATCCAACATCACCCTTGGGCGGCAGAACGACTCAGTGACCCTGTCCCTTCATAGCATTGACACTAATCCGCTTTGTTCTGTCCGATGGTCCTGCCTCTGTCCGTCAATTCCCTGAAGTCATATCTTGATTCAGGCTTCACTGATACAACAGCAGCACGGCTTGCTCATTCAGAAACTCTGAACCAAATCATTTAGGCTCATGTAAGTCAGCACATAAATCTGTCATGGCCTGTGGTACACATTAACAGTGAACTTGAAACAGAGCCCAGTTCTCCATGTGTAGGAGAATTATGACTTGGTGACTTTCATAACTTTACTGCTTCTTTTGACTAATCTCCTTCAGGGCAACAACTTTGTATGATGACCTTATTTCCTGAATTAGATCATCCACAAACAGACCAGGCTATGCTGTAACTGTAAATATGATGCACAGTGTTACTTATCTTTCCTTTGTAATTTCTCTATAATACAGACCAGCAAGTTCAATGTTAAGAGACAGCTGGTATGTGTTATGTAAGCCTTGTCAGACAGTTTGCTGTTACTAGGTTAAGCTGTGCCTTATCTGTAGATTTAAGATAAGGATTTTTCTAAAGCATGGGAAACTAAAGGTGACATCAGGTCGGTACAGAAGGAGAGCTTGTGTTGTAGGATGTTACATAATGTAATGTTATATTCAGGCAAGCATGTTTTATTTTCATCACACTAGGGGTGAAAACCTAAAGGAGAGACTTTGCCAAGTTGTCCTAACATTTAAAAAGAAAAATTAACATCAAGGGCTTTCTAGCTGGATCTTGAAAAGTAATGTTTTTGAAATTAATGTGAATATACAAACACGAACACTGATTATTGGTGCATTATTTGAAAATCTAATTGAGCTTCATCAGGAAATCTTTAGGTAAATTTTGTTTTTTATAGATCTTCATATTAATTGGTAGAACTACAATGAATTTTGTACATTAGATGTTAAAAAGAAAAGAGGGGAATATACAAAATAACAAAGGAGCTATTACCATTACTTTTGCCCAAAATTAATGGTTAGCACATTTGTCTAACAAGCTAAAGATCCCTGGTTTGTTTCTGGGAGAAGACCCTGTTCCCTTTTGGAGTTGCATGAAGAGCATCTGTTTCCCGCTATGGAAAGTAGCTTCCTATCAGACAACCAGAATTGGGACATGGAAACTTGGCCCAAACACATTCAACCTCTCATTTATAAGCTTTGTCGTTTCTTAGACACTGTGTCCGAGTCGGTCAATATTATATTTGGACAGGTTGAGTATTTTTCCCCAGTTCATGTCCTTGTGTGAGCTCTGTCCAGCATACACCAGTGTGTAATTAGGTCAGCACAGTCAGCTGTGTTATCATAGATGATGAATGTTGTAATAAACCACACAATCTTTGCTAGGGGCCCTCTGGAAGAGCTCTCACTAAGCTTTCAGTGTTGTTCAGCAAGTCTGCGTGCAGTGTGTTTATACTGGCAGAGTTTCTCAAGAGGGTTAACTAACTAGTTAAAGCCTCCTTATAAAGAACTCTTTCAGAACAGCCAGCTTCTCCTTGGTGACCACAGTAATCGGCACCTTCACCACACGTTTTTTGTTCGGCATCAACACGCTTTGGGAATTTGTGGTGGAACGGGTATTAAATTCTCCCAAATGCTCCATTTAAAATTTAATTTGTTGCATTTGTGAAAGCTTTCACATGCTGCTGAGTGCAAATGTGTACTCTGGATACTGCCTGGAGGTCTGTCCTCCATACAGAGGGTGAGATTTGCAAGTCATGGTGCAAAACTTGATGCTGGCAGTGGCAACAGTGAAATCCAAATCAAGGACAATATGAGTTATAGCTGTGCTTATGCTACAAAATGAATCAGAAAGGGAAGCTTTTGTGTAGTTGTCAAATAAGCATTGACAAGGATTTATTTAATCGATGAAAAGCAATCTGTCACACTGGAACTGTTGTTGATGGCTCTAATGTAATTAAATGTTGAATTGTGTTGCCTTCTGTCATTTTCATATGTGGGCCATACTCGAGACATAACAGTCTAATCAGCACACTTTGGTTAGGATGCCCACTGAAGCCCTTAAATTGAAAAACAGGAAATGATTAATGGATTTGTCTCCAATTTAAGATTCGTTAACACTTCGTTTCTGTCTGTAGCTTAAGTTATACCTAGCCTGAGGTTTAGCCAACCTGGAAACTGTAAATAGTGCCCAAGTACATCTGTAACAAATGCAACATTTTATAAGTGCATACCTGTCTTCAGATGTTTCCCCATCGATTCTAAACAACCTCGTGAGGTTGTCTGCATGTTAAACTGATTGGAAATCACTGCTGTCTGTATACAGAGCATTCATGATCCAAAGTCCAGAACTGGCTCTGTCGACTGTATGTTGGCAGCCTGCATTTGGGGCTGTTGAATAACTTCATGGCTTATGAAGACAGTGCACAGATCTGACATTCATAACTCCATATGTGGACACTTCACATAGATGCTATAGAGAACCATGAAATGGATAAGATACTATTATAATCCTTTTTCAGGGAATTTTGGTTTTTTTGTTAGTTTTTATTCCGACTCCTCTCTTTCTCAAGTTACCTCTCAGGTATAATGTTGTGGCTAATTTTTGCAAAATCCTTGTAAAGAGGAATGGTGGGATTAATTTTTATAATTGTTACATTACACATACAGATGGACCCCCGATAAAAAAACAAAAAAAACAAAACAACAACATAAAAACAAACAAACAAAACCCCAAATACTATTTAGTAAGATGTTGACCCACCACATGTCACAAGAACAAATTCACTCTATTTTAGCAATTTCACAAGTGCCTCGAGCTCTCTTGGTGGGACGTTACACATTTCCTTTAAATTACATTCCAAAAACATTGTCACTTGTACTTGACCTTTGTCAGGTGACTCAGTTAGATTTTGTTTGTAAGTTTTGATCCAAAACATGCTCAGTCATTTAGTGTTTGTGTATAAAATTATAGTTAGAAATCCAGGGATCCGGTGATCCTTGTTAGCAAACATTTGGCAATAGCGGGGAGGAACAATTTAAATTTAACATGAAGAGGCTGATGGATGAGCCAAGCTCATGGAGGGGCAGACATGGGCCATGATTGAGAGGTGAGAGGAAGAGTGCTATTGGATGCACTAATCAGCGTTTATTTACAGCTGCAAGAAGGGTGCAGAATACGACATACAGGCCAAATCTCACCAGTCCCTGCTTCTCCACAGACACTCAGGCCACAGGTGAAAAATAAAAAACTTTTATCCTGCATTACATCCAACTGAAAATATTTATGAACAGCACTAAGTGATGGAAGGCTTACACTTTGGTGTATCAGGATCTCGCCGAGTGTGGCTGGAATGAGAGTTAACACCTCAAAGTCCATGGTTCTCAGATAGAAAAGACTGGAGTCTCCACTTTGGGTCAGGGACAAGTCAGTCCCCTAAGTGGAGGAGTTTAAGTATTTTCGGGTCTTGTTCTCGAGTGACTGGAATGGGGGATTGACGGATTGGGATTGCATATGCAGCGATGTGGATGTGGTATCAGTCCATTGTGATGAAGAGAGCTGGACATAAAAGCAAAGCAGATGAGCTACATCCATATCCTCACCTATGGTCACAAGCAAGGTAGTGATTGGAAGAACGAGGTTGAGGATACAAACGGTGAAAATGAGCTTTCTAGGAAGAGCCTGCCCTCTTCCTTAGAATTAAGGTGACGAGTTCAGTCATTTGTGAAGCGCTTGGAGTAGAGCCAGT